TTACGTGTTATATTATAGGAATTGACATAAACTGCAATTACTCGTACCCCGCGAATTCACTTGCGCGTTATATCAACATAAGCTGATACGTGGATCCGAGCGAGCGAAGTGCAAGGCGGGGGAGGTAATTTAATTTTTACTTGCCCGCGAATTTTATTAGACCAACTAGAAATTGCAGTAATTGTAACACGGCATTTTTAAAGCGTGCATTGTTCGTTACCATAAATCGACCCGAACGAGCATTATCTGTAATAAATATATTTTTCTAATTGCGCGAGACGTTAAGAAAAAAACGAAAGTGTCGATAACACGTCTACTTAATAAATCTTGGCCGTAATCGTGTAATCGTAATAGCTTATCTAGGCATTTAAGCGACCTCACAGACTCACTTGACCTGGATGACGCAGTAAACGGCATAATTAAATATACACCGTTTTGCCGCTTGTTCTTTCTTATTTCATAGCTCGTTGCGAAAGCGTTTTGCAAATTAGATCGTTACTGGAACACTCGGTATTGAACGCGTAACCGTGTGTATGCAGCGCTGTTTCGGTAATACGCGTAATAACGGCGAGCAAATGGATCATTCTAATGTTGCGTACGCCGAGATAGAAATTCAGCGCGCGGATTTAAATCCAAGGGCGAAATTAGGTTAATCTTGCTCCTCGGCACGTCAGTAATTCGAATCAATTAATGAATCAATCAGTGTGACCAGGCCCGTGTTAAATCCACTTAGCCAGTTCAACCTGAAAGCAATTGACGCATTACTGCCGCGGACTCTGTAGCTGCAAATTGTAGCGAATACGGAAAATTCATTGTGAACATTGTTTATTCGAATACGTAACACGTGGAAAGGCTTGTATCCACGATGCTAGAACTTGGTCCAAGTTTTAGTTTCGAGAAATGTGTAACCAATCAGCTTGCAGCTTTTATGGAATGGCTGCAAGCTGATAGGCTACACATTTCCTGGAACTACAATGGAACTTGGCCCAAGTTCTAGCATCGTGGACACAGGCCCCAAGGGAACTGATCTCCCTTTTCTCTCTTACAAGAATACATCCAAGCGTGCAGGAGCACGAAAGTCAAGTTTATTCTGACAATAGTGCGACGCGCGTCTGCAGCACGAACGCAAGTAGGGCGACACAGCGATTTTCCAATGCGCTAACCGAGCGATCTGAATCTATCGCGTACGTGCAATTTTTGCACGCCTGTCGATGAGCCGTCGTGTTTATAAACCACGACGCGCCCGAGCGCTGCATCATCACGTCGGATTACATAGGAGGAAGTTTCCTCGTGGATCTCGTATCGTGCGCCGCCGCGCGTTCTGTTTCATGAATAAAATTTCTCCAATTTCACATTCTCGTGTTATGTAAAAATTGGAGCAAAAGCACGGCGTGTATCGCCGCGACAGCGCCGGCATCGGCGCCGCGGTGCGAAGTCGCGGCGTCGTTTTGCAAATGCAATGTTGCGGGAGGCCTCGACGCCGTGCGCGAGGAACGACGTGTGCGCTAGTCGTCACCTTAGGCAAGAGGGGTATTCTTCGCGAAAATTGAGCTGGCGGGGTTGGATATGTAGATAGAATACATAAACCCGCGCACGGCGAATGCGCCGCTCGTGATATTGCAATTCCTGATTTGAATAAATAAATATATAATATAAATGAGAACGAGCGCTTCTGTGCGTGCAATTACGGAATCTACCGCCGATATTCAACTTTGTGGAATTACTCAGATAAAAGAGGCATTAACAGAGAGCAAATATAATTTGGATTCCCCGTTTATGTGAAGCCCGCGTTTACGCTGTCGATCTGAGATGAAAAGTAAACGATATAAAAAAAGGGGGGTAAAGAGAAATTAAAATAAGATGAAAGATGATAAATTAAAGAAAGGTAGAAAAATTAAGTACCACACACGTGCGTCGTTTTTTAAGTACATTGTTGCGGAAGATAGCGTTATGTTTGATGTGCCCAATGTTATCAGTAATATCTTAAGTAAATAATTCGATATTAAAAATGTTACATGGATTTTCATGCCTCGGGAATTTTTACCGCAATTGACCGCGACTGATTAACGAATAGTCAGAGTTGAAGAATTTCTACGGGAACTTACAGTTGTGCTAAGTAAACTCTGATTTAGCAGCACGTCTCGAATGCGCATGATATTAGAGTCGCGAAGTTCATTTGAATAAATAAACGTCGCCGATAATATAATTTTAGTATTGAGGTAATCGTATATGGCTCGTCTCCATTCAGACTATTTCAGTACGGAGTAAATCTCGGCGCCTCCCATTTCGATTCGATTCACGGGCATATCGGATCTGCACGTCGCCGAGAAAGTCGCTTTATCACAGAAGCGTATCCCTGAATATTGACCACGCGAGCCAATCGATACTCTATCGATCCATGAAAATCGTTCAATAATTCAGAACGGTCGCGGAACTGGATTCTGGATACCGACTCCGATAGCAAAAACGTGTAAAAGTCGAGATCGCGAGGCGTGATTGCTAAGAATATCAAGCCATAGAAATATCGCATTCAAAACGGGACAAAACGGATTAATAACTGCTCCGTACTTAATGAGATTACAAGTCAGACCGATAGGATCGCTTGATCGCGGATAACCGCGCGATATAATTGCGGATCCGTTCTTTCGATCGCTACGAACGGAGCACGACGGGTCGGGGCGCAAGATAACCCAAACAACACCTTTAAGGCGTCTTTAAGTCATCTTGTAGATATGTATGTCTAAAAGACGACTTGAAGACGCCTTAAAGATGCCTTTTAGACATGCGTGCTGTATGGAAAGTCTCGCCACTGATAAAATAATTGCTCGACTAAACGGCTAATGAGGCAATTAATGCGCACGCGCGAAATGTTGGTCGGAATCGGCTCGTTCGAGGGTGAGACCGACAAGAGCCAAACTGCCGTGCATCGGGTTTATATATTCGAAACCGGTTCGGGACTGCCGAACGAGAAAAGATTACGTCGCGCGGGCGACTTTCGCGATAGATCGACATTTTTCGCGGGCGCCAAATAATATAATAGCTTTCACTTCGCGCGCCGCCGAAGTCGCGGCTCGTATAATAAGCGGGGCATCACGCTCGAAAACAAAAAAATAATTAATCGGATGCAATTAGCCGCGTTACGTTTCGGCGCGCTGCACTTCAGCACCTTTAAGGTTGAGATTAGCGATTGCTCATCGGCCGCCGTTACGTACATACCGAGTTATGAAAAGCGTATGCTAAAAAAAGAAAGTATATAGGAAATATGCGTTCAAAGCATATGCAACAATCTATAACAAAAAAAAAATGTAATATACATGCGCGCGGGCGGACTGCCTGGTCTCGTTTACGTTTAAGCGTAAACAATTTTTTGCCTGCTCATAATGCACACATTTTTATCCCATTCCTTGATTATTGAGCATTTTTATAATTGCACATTTCTATATTTTTATAAGACGCCGATTATGCAAATTATTTGAATTAATATCTTGAATGACACTTTTATGTGTGCCGCAATGCCAAATGAAAGATAAGATCGAACGGCTGTAACAACCATTAAATGGCGTTTACAGACTTCTCGAGATAACAGATAATGCGATTCGAAAATTAGCGAACTTGTGGATTGTCGAGTATCACCAGACAAACCGTATGGCGATTGTAATTCAAATCGCTCACGACAGCAGGCAACTCTTAAGACCGTCTCTTACGTTTTGCGATTTTATTTCCAGCATAATATACTATAACGGTTGGAATTAGTAGGTTGAGGTAATAAGTAACGAACGGCCGCGGCAGTGTCGGCGGCGGCAGGCAATCTATCTGGAAAAGAATTCAGGTCTTTCTGTTTCTTGTTTTTTTTTTCTTACGGCCGTTCGACGATCCGTAATTCTAACTCTTTAGAACGATTTAGCATTTGCGCTAAACGTGAAATTCCTTTTGCGAATGCTTCGTTTTCTAACGTAACGAACGGACCGTAATCAGGATCGCGCCTCGCCATTCTTGAATCCTCTTCCCCTCCTCTTTTCCGGCGAGACGAACTTTTCGTCTCTTTTCTGTGACAGCCGCTCGTGTCCGGATGTAAACTTCAGAGTTACCGTGATTTCTACTCGGACATTGTGCGGACAGTGGTTTTCATGAATAATAATAACTTTCGGTTATTCGGACATCTCGCCTTCCATTCTTTCCCTTCTCGCAAAAAATGTTCTGCATTCAAATGAATGAAAATCAAAGTCGAGCCATCTTAAAGCGAGCACTGTTGAAACAAGGGCATTACGCGACGCCATCAATTAGCCGAAGATCCGCGTCGTGACCTCGAGGTCGGGACGTCATTTTCAACAATCGTGACTCGCCGTCGAATCGCCTCTTCAAATTTCTTCAGCGTCAAAAGTTGCGGCAAATCAATAATAGCTTGATAACGTCAAACTCCTTTAATTTATCATACGATGCTAATTTTTATCAGCTACCGTTGCTCCCTTAACAAGCGTAAACAATAATACGTGTATGGTATGTACTTAACAGTGTCATATCGCTTGAGAAAAAAATTTGCTTGGACGAAGAGTTGTCAAAAAGAAGGACATTTGGGCCCGCGGTTTTCAAATCTTGTCAAACACACATCTTCAATATAGTATTTCTCAGTGATATTATTTAATTTAATTTATATATTACTGTAAGTATAGTCATTCACTCTGGTCTCTTCGGTAATCGAGACTCTTCTCTCGAACACCACAGCTTCTCGTGAAACTCCCCGAAACTTGGGCGACAAAGAACGTTTCAACCATCTTCACCATCTGAAAGCCTACGTGAGTCCACCCCGCAGTCGAACAACGATTTATCACTGACGAGGGCTGGCCAATTAACTAAAGTGATGATCACTCAGTGCTACCGTGCCGCCGCTATCGGCAACTGCACCTGCGCCGTCTACCGTAACCGGAAAGGTGTCCGCCGTAAGCCGTGCGAGCTGTGCAACGCTCGTGCATGCTCGTGCACCACGCCTGCGAGAAAGAGAGTTGTATCGTAGGTGACCAGGTAACCCGGGTGGTGCTCGGTTGCACTTGGTGCGGCCCGTCGCGTAGAAGCCAGAGCGTGTAGGCCAACACCGCCGCGGGTGGGGCAGGAGGGACGGGAGGCTGCGACCATTAGACGTGGACGTAGCCACGAATACAACCTACAACGGGCAACTTCCATCCATCGCCGCCGTAAAGGGGGGACCCCCTTCGCCCCCGAACCGGGTGGTGGGACTACGGCTCTACGGCCGCTTGCTACGCGGTACGTGGATTATAGTTTTTCTGGAGGGAGGGTGGTGGAGCGCCTTGCTTGCTTTCGAAAGGATGGTGATTGTGGAGCGTGTCCAGAGTAGAGTTAGGCGTATATAAGGCCCGCCGGCCCGGCCCAAGTCAGTCATTCACCGGACTACCAGCCCAATACACACACCAAACATGAAGGCCTTTGTGAGTATTCCGCAAAAGGGGGTTGGTGAGGTGTTCGCGAGGTGTTGCAACTCGTAGTCTCGTTTTATCTCTCGGCTTCGCGCCCCCCTTTCGATCAGATTCTATTCAATTCTGCTACCTTTATTCAATCTTTGCTCGCGCAACTTCGCTGCGCCTGACTATTCATTTACTTCAAAACGGCGTGTTTCTTCGAAATCATCGTAGTTTCTTGATCAGATACTTGCCCTCGTTGCCGTGAATGAACAGTGTCCATCTCGAAACTTTAAACGACCCTTGAATTACTTCCAGTCCTTAACGGAATTGCTCATAAAATTCTGCCCTTGTTGTAAATGCCGCTGCGAAAGTTTATCTCCGCGAGCGCTCCGTAACGTTTCGTTCGGGCGTTCTTCTTAATTGAAACCAAACAAGAAACTAGATTAATGCGAGATTATATTTAGACGGCGACGTGTATCTGCAAACGGAAAGTAAACACGACTGTCTCGCAAGCTCGGGAGCTTTCGTTCGCGTCAATAATGCACGTCTATTAACGTCTCTCCATTGTACCGTTACATTTCTCCGTTTCTTACCGCGATACAAAGCGACGACGATTCAATGTCACGGTTGGGATACTCTCGTTTTTCTCCGCCAGACAGACAGACGGACAAACAGACGAACCGACGACTTTCATTCATAAACGAAAGAAATCTTACCGCATCGCGCGCTCGGCGAGAACCGGTTGTAAGTAGTATCATCATCCTCATTGAATAAGCGGATTAACCCGCGACCGGTTTCTATTCCGCACAGGCGCATCTTCATTCACGGATCCCGCGACTGCGGTTGCACATACCTCGCCGTCACTCTCTCGCGTTCTCCGCCGTTGAATCGCTCTTTTTCCCTACGCCGTTCCACGTGCGCAGCATCCATTGAATCGGGACAACGTTCCATCTCGTTCCGCCCTGCAAACGTAACGCGCGTTAGCTCGCGTTCCATTTTCACATTAAATTATAACGTGCCCAATTAGCCGTGTATCTATCACTTATAATACCGCCGATAACGATATCCTAATCGTCGCGTTGCGTCAGACCTCGGCGCGCAATTCCTCAGGGCCGATGGAAATGTACTCGGCGCCCGATCGCGCAGGCGATTTTGAAATCGGCACGATCGATCCTTTTCCGATCGCGAGGTCGCGGGAACGCTCGGTCGGCCACGTCACACGAGCGCGCGGCCGCGAGATAGTCGTTCATTCCGCGTAAACGGGATGTGAAAGTTTCGCGCAGTCGTTAGATATGCATAATTCCCGGCCGCGCGGTGCCATTTAAGTTTGCGGCGGTCTCAAACCGGGCGTGACACGCGCGCGCCGCCGCCGTCTAATGCCGCTCGCACGCGATCGCGAAATATCGGTTACGTATACACCGACGATATATCTAATCGGCTCGACGGTTCTACGGTCGCGCGAAACACTTCCTTTCTAAAGGCCGCTTCCCGTATTACGAGCCGCGAGCGTTACGACTTTAAACGTGTCTAGCTGAGATACATGACGTAACTCTCGCCCAAGATCTGTCTCTCCCCCTAATCTCACGTATCCGAGAAAATTCTTTAGAAGTCCGCTCTCTAAGAGTCGATCAGTAGATTATCGCTGGAAACAGCGAATAGTCACTGACCACTGCAATATTCAGTAGCGTACTTGTAACTCGCAAATCTGTGACTGTTCACTGCTTTCGGTGATAAAATTCACTAATCGACTTTTAGAGAGTGATTAATCGATTAATCGAATTTCTCAATCGACGATGGAAAAATCGAATCCACTGATATGAATTGCGAATCTCGACCTCGGATACGCGAAACGGATACGTGACCGGTTAATTACGAATCTCGCGTTTAGTCGTTCGCGCAGATTTTATGCAATCGCGACTACTTTTTCTTGCGCGCGCGCGGCGGCCTATTAACGGGCCTAGAAGAGTTTTCCTAATACGGTCATCAGGAATGGTGACCAGAGCAACCGCGACGCAAAAGGGGAAGAGGGGGAGGGGGAATCGCGGCGCGCTATCAAGTTGATTACGAAACGTTACGGCGCGTGGTTACGGGTATCTAATCTCGTCGATTTTCTCGTCGATGCATTCGGGCGCTTTCTCATTGCGTTTTCATTGGCGTAATCGCGCCGCCCTCGCAATAAAGTAGCGCGAGCGCGCGAATCCGATGAGATTTCGAGATCATCTCGGCGATCTAGAAACCCTCTGTTACGCGCGAAACCGTTTCCGCCGCTTCAGAGTTCGCGATCGTGAACCGACGTTCACGGAAATCGAAAGTGAAAGCCGCGATTATGTTGCGCGGATCTAGCGGTAGTCGGACTCGGTAATCGCGGCGCCAAGCCAATGGAAATCTAGATCCGTAACAGTGATAGCCCCAACGACACGCGCACGCGAACCGCTTCCGTAAATCGAAACTCGAGCTCACGCAATACTCGTCGCTTAAAGTTTTTAACAGTTTCGGTCGAATGCGTATCGGAATATTGTCGCGTGCCTTCGTAAACCCGTCGGTCGAATGACGCCTCGCGTCTCTTCCAGATTGTGTTCGCCTGCTTAGCGGTCGCGACGGCCCGCGCCGGAATTGCCGGTGGCTATGGTGGCTATGGACACGGTCTGGCCCTCACCGGACGTGGCTATGGATCGGGTCACGGTTTGAGCGGTGGACTCGCCGCTGGTGCTGGAACCGCTGCCTCCCTCCAGGGTGGTGCCTCCAGCTTGGGATCTGGTGGTCTTGGTGCCAGCTATGCTGCTGGTGCGGCGGCGGCGGCTGGTTCTGCTGGAGTTCAGCAGATCGTCTCTGGTGGTGCGTACCTCTGCGTACCGAATTTCAATTGCCACTAGGGCGACGACGGCAGAACGCATCGATGTTGAACGATCGCTCGCTCTCTTCTCGCAGGAGTCATTGGTGGCAGGTCTGACATCGGACCCGCTGAGGGACCCAAGGCCAACGTTGGACCCCAGACCGGACCATCTGATCTCGTAGGACCCCAGGAGGGAGCCAAGTCCATTGGTGGACCCCGCACTGGCCCCGCCAGTCTTGTAGGACCCGCTGCCGGCCCATCCACCCTCGTTGGACCGTCCCAGGGAACCGCTACCCTCGTAGGACCATCCCAGGCTACCGCTAACCTCGTTGGACCCAGCTACGGAGGTGTTGCCTTCTTCGCCGGATCTGGTGGCATCAACGGTGATGACGGTAGCTCTGGTGTTGCCGCTAACGCCGCGCCTGGTGCTGGACTCGGTAATACACATCTTCAATCAAGACGAACATATTACGCTAAACTAATTATACGTTGAAGACATAATATGTGTTCGTACCTTTTACATCCACCAAGTGGATCTAAATGTACTACAAGGATATTTTGTTGAAAAGGTGGATTCGGTCTTGGCGGAGCTGGTATTGCTGTCATCGGAGGAGGTGGTGGAATCGGTGGTGGTGCCCTTGGTGGCGGTGACGCCGGAGTTGCTGTGATCAACGGACCATCTGGCGCCATCCACGCCGGACTCGGCTCTCACGGAGCTGTCATCCCTGCGATTGGAAAGTGGTAGACGTTTTAAGACCCCAGCGATCTCGGCTCGGCGACGGCGGCAAACCCACCACAGTCACTTACCGGTCTCGAACGATCCTCAAACGCGCTCAACGTCTTCTTCCCAAAGCTTCGTCCAGTCTCGGAACATAGCCGGTGCACCCTTGGCGCTAGTGATATGATCGTCGGACACTCGGAACACACACACGGAACGGTCGAATCGGTCGTACATACGTACACCGCGAGCCGATTAAGCGCGATCCGGAGGACAGACGGATAAGATCGTAAGAGGACGGCACCGAGATTTCGGCCATACGTGATCCGCGGCCTCGCGTCGTTTGCTCCTCGTTCTCGACCCGCTACAACCGGGTAAAATTTAGTCAATTACCGTTCATCGAGAGACCAGCGATAAAGGAAGCTCGGCGCGGGCCGCGTTTTACCGGTCTCGGCGCACCAACACCTCGCCGCTCCTCGACGAGCTTTCACCCGCGAATTGGCGAACGTCGTCTTTCGGATATCACCGAACACTTGAACGCGTACGCGCATTTCCGAGTCGCGACCGCGTGCCACAAGGCCACCCCGTTGCACACGCGTATCACCCGGTGCACCGTCATGGGCCTGGCAAGTGGACAAGCTTTGGCACTTCGTCGCCGGGGCAACCGGATTTGTTCTGTTTTCTGAACATCTACCGTTGCTCCGGCTGAACCTTCTTTTCTTACGTCTTCCACCATCCGTAAGGCCGCCGCTCTTCACGCACATATCTATTTCTCTCTTTTTCCACGGGTCGGTCGCATCAAGCGCACGTACCCGGCATGTTGTTATACTTACCGCCGCACCCCAAGCATACATATTATTATTACTCGCGTCCATGCGCACATATGTTCTTCTTATATATATATGTATACATATTATTACCTATTACTTCCGCGCATATATATATACATATATATATGAACACATTGCCACACGCGCGCACACATACACATACACTATATTTCTATATGTGTACTCGTATATATACACACATATATTATATAATCGTGTTATATGTTAGTGAAAAGGAGAGACCGGTAGATTATGGTAGGTCAGCCTTTCTCATGAGTGAATGAATGTAAATAGATGGCTCGCCGTCGCCGGCCCTCGACCCCGCCCGCCCTCGTCATACCCTTTCTTTGCGATCACGACTAGCACCCCACCACCACCATAGATAGATACCACATATTTATAGCGTTTATACATTTATACAATACTTTATATAAAATAAAGCATCAGTATTTAAAACTCATTCTTGTCTATTCGCGTATCTCTCGCTACTTCACCTAATAGATCGTATCGTCAATTTCCCTCTACATTTCACTTCTTCTTCGTAGCTTCCAGTCTTTCAATTCTTACTGGCTTTTCAGTATAATCTAATTAACATTTTATTGCGCCATTTATAGTCAGCCTTTAGGAGTAATTATTATAATGACAAAAAACGTGCTGCTGACACAAAAGAAACGCGTATGAAGTATACGGTAGAAATTAGAGGAAAGTTCTTTATTGTGAAATAGAGGATTCTAATGTGAGATAGTAGGTTTTCAACGTCCAAATTCAATCTTTTTTCGCAGCGATTACACGATCTAACAATCAATTTTCCACTAAACAAGATTTAACTCCAGGGGCAATAAATTCATTGGAAGCAACAGATGGTGCTTATGACTTTAGCGGAAACTCTGCTATCTCATATTAAGAGCGTACCTCATAATAGGGGACTTTTCTCTATTAATCGTATTAAAATTAAGGTATACGATTATTGAATGTATTGCGTACCAACAGTACCAAATTTATGTACATTATCTTAAATCAATGAAAGTTAACATTTCTTTGCTAACATATGTGAATTATTGAATTTCAGTATTACAAGCTGATTAATTGGTCTGTTAATTGATCTGTCTAACACATGTGAATTATTGAATTCCAGCATACAAACCGAGTAATTGAAATTGCAAAGACGAAATAAACCAGACAAGGAGAGAAAGAATAATTAATTGTCTTACTTAATGCTAACAGATAGTGTGGCAAAAAGAAAGAGGTAAATACATATCTATTGACAGTAATATCTGTCGATAAAAATATTTATCGGCAATAGTTCCAGTGTCTTTATTAATTAATTTTTTATTCTGTTTTAGTTAGTACGTTCTCGTACGCATATCGGCCATAATTTTCGTACAAGATCGCCACACACAAGTTTTGCAGATGTAAGTTTTACTTAATACAAATAGAAATCTACACACATGTTCAATAAGGTACAAGTAATACCAATCATAATTTTATATTATGTATATTATGTATAATAAATAAATTTTGTGTATTACTTTCTATTAAAATATAATGCCAAGGATTTTGTAGTTATAGCTACTATAATCATCATTAATATTCCATTACGTATTAATTAACGAATCTAATTTTTTTTTCAGATCACAGCGACGTAACGTTTATTCTAGTACATATAGATTTTCTGAGCTACTGTATCGAAAATCTATAATTAATACTGATCGTTTTTATTGAGACATAAACGAACGAGTATTATACCCGATAATAAGTTTACGAGGTTAAATGTTTTAGTTATTCGTATACTTGCGCATGTAATTAATAAATTTGGAATTCAATATTCATCATAAAATATTGAGGCAGATATGGTAATCAATAGTACAGTTAATGAGAACTAATATCAATTGTTAAAACCAGCATTACATATGTAGTACCAATATCTTGTTGTCTTTGTTGTCGTATTTGTTTCGGCGCTATAATATTTAGCGGAACAATAAGAAAAACAAAATGAAATGTAAAATATGTAAAATATTTTTCTCAACTCACGAGATATTTGAAAAAATTTATTAGTTTGCAACCGATTTATTGGAACTTTGTAAATATTAAAATGTTATAGTTGTAAATTTTCTATCTATAAGTAAATGAAAGTTTATTTTATTTTCTTTACTTGCGTATAATTAAAACATGCTTTATTATGAGGCGCAGATTGTAAATAATTTAGTATTTAAATTATACTTCTTTTGAAATATCTTTACCAAGTTTGTCTGACAACTTGTTATCAAGTTTTGTATCTTTTCTATGTAAAACAGTTAACTATAACACACTTACATAAATTACACTTTATTATAATAATAAAACGTAAACTTGTGTCATCGGAGACGAGATGCGTTTAGCGAAGATTAAAATTGTTAGTCATATAATCGCCATTAAGATGTTTTAACCCTTTAAAGCAGAAACACTGGAAGGATCAAAAACATTCTTTTAATAAAACATTAGATTGCAAATGGACCGCCTGTTGCGTTAGCCTGCTTTAATAGAGGAATTTGTTTTGCTAATGTCCGCGTTAAAAGCCGACAACATATTTTAAAGTTTTATTATGGTATTTAATTCGTGCGTTTAATAAGTAATAGAACCACAAAAAATACTTGCCTCAGTTACATAAAACGTTGGAAAATCGCAGTATTTTTAGATGATTCAAGTTGATTACGTTAATTGTTCGGAGGAACGTCCTAATGTGAAGTACTGTATGCACATGGGGGAATTGATAAGCCTGCAAATTTATAAATACGCATTATTACTATTCCTCTTGTTATGGTCTTATGCGAAACGTGCATTTGAAAGATAAAATTTATATTGGAGAATAAAATAATATCTGGCGATGTCGGTATAAGCTTCGTTATTTCAACAGATTAATCGACCAGATATGTCGTTTAGATGTTAGCTTTGATATGAACGAGCGCTAACGATGCTACTTAAACCAAATTAATCAGAAAGTGGTCGGGCTGGCATTCCCCATTAGAAGCGGATAATTCTCGTAAGCATAGAGAGTAATCTTCTTGTGACATTGCGAAATGAATGCAATTTGGAAATGAATAATCACGAACGAATTATCCACGTGTGTATGTGCGTCCACATGTATGTGTATGTATTGTATGTGTAACATAATTTTCATGTTTTATATTTATATCATAAAAGCGTTAATTATTCTATTAATTTATACTTATTAGAAACTATAGTAGCAATGTTTTGCCAGATTAGTAGTAAATTCTTACGTCTACGAAAGGGTTGTAAATTTTTCCTGAATACGTTGCATACATACGACCGCTTTTACGGTTTCTTTCAGCGCACTAGAAATAAAGTAAAAAGATAAAAGTGCACGTGCTAAGCCGTAGAATCAAACAGAACATCTCCAGCGGGAGGAACACTGACTGGTGATGTGGCAGAGAACATAAAATTTGAATGCTTTAATGTGTCTGTTTTTTACATTCGGATCTTTTCGTCTTTTTTTTTATTTTTCCATGAAACAAAAATAACATCGATTCCCGATCTCGCCTGATATACGAAAAATGTCATATTTTCTCGAACACAAACACTCTTTTTTTTAAACGTATATTCGATGTAAAATTCGAAGGTAAAGCATCGTAAATTGTAAATGGTCAGTTTTCATTTTTTGCAAAAGTTTATGCACTGGCCGTAACTTATCGTTACGGCGAAGAGGAATTAAAATGAAATAAAAATGGAACTTTTAACTTTTTCTCTGTGATTTAAATATTTTTAATTAATTTGTTAATTGAGTTATTTGCAAAATAGGTACCAGTGTTACTTGTACGCAGAAGTTGAATGGAATAGTAAATTTCTGTTCTCGACGCTGTATTCTCGAAAAGTAAAATTACTAATGTTTTTTTCTTTACATACTATTATTTTAAACATTTATCATATTCATTTTCTCGAAACAATTTAAGTACAGTCAAGCAAATAGTTCATGTTATTAGATGCTATCCAATAATTTTAGTAAAAGATAAAATTATAAAGAATTAAAATTGTTCTATTGCAAGTAATGAAAATTTTGCTAAGAAAAATTAATCAAAGCAAATTAAAGAAAAGAACTTAAATAATTATGTTTAAAAGATTGCCTTCAGAAATAAATAATGAAATAAAATGTCCATTTTACTTGTGTGAATCGCGTCCGAAATAATTTTATAATGTGTAAAGAAGGAAGAGAACGCGTATGGGATTATGATATCGTTGCGAAGCGTCATAAGTTGTGTCATAGAAAACGTGCCTTTCGTAACGATCGTCAAGGAATAATTAGTGGAGATGGCAGAATGCCGGATACGAAGAGGCGCGGTCCTTTCACTCTCGGGGGTGTGCGATTGTTGCACGCGTTTCTCAGAAGAACTTTTTTTACAAGGTATTATAAGGTTGTTCCACTTTTACGGTCAAGGTTGCCTCACTCTCAGAGAGGATTCTTATGCATATGTCTCAGGCTTTACACGAATGCGGATTGTATTAGTGAAATATAAATTAATGGATTACCAAGGTACAGATTTTCTTGGAGGATTTTGCATTGCAGAAGACGTAGCTCAGACGTCTTGAATAATCTTTAGATACAGTTGCGAGATGTTTGCAATTTATAATTAATTATGATCAATTCGTTTTCTTCTTTTAGACAAATTGAACTTTGGCAAAACACAAGTGTTTTACACTTCCCATGGTTTCACCTAGAGCGAATGGGTTGCATGCTCCCATAAACAACGCGGTACATTGCATCCGTATTGCGCTGCAGACAATGACTGCAAATGTCAGTCTCACCATTAGCATTGATCACGCTCAATCGCAGCGGGGTAACCGTACCTCCTTCGATCACTCGTCGTAGGTACGAATTTTCAGAACGTGATGCAGAGGATAAAGTTGTACGACCGACGCAACACTTCGTGAAACATTTACAGACGCGTAGCAGCAATTTAAGCAGAAAAGATCATATTTAAAGGTCGAATTTCCGATTTCTTTCGCTGAATATACGTGTTTGCCGTCTACTCATCTGGCAATGCATTCAAAGTACCTCTTTAACTTGCTATCACTGCATCTTCGTACGATCTTTGAAAATATATTCGTGCACAATTTTAGATTCGCAATCGCCAAGCATCAAAGTTGATTACTACTTACAGAATAGAATAGTTTTAGAATGTTCTATCTCGAAGAGCAATAATAATTTCACATATATTTGACTCAAAGTATTTTGTGTAATAATAACAACATATAAATTTTATATGAAGTTTAATAGTTATTACTAAAATAATATTGCATATAGACTGATATTATTACTATACATATATTATTATAAAATTAAACGACGTTAAAATAAAAAATAAAGATTTCTTGCATATACAAGAAACTTTTTTTTTCGCGAGACGTGGATATGCAGATGCTCTCACGGTATTCAGCGACTGTTACCAGAAATCATGATATTCACGTGGAATTAGAGCATTCGAGTTCGCGTCTCTTTCATCGTACCCGTTAAAGGTCGAGTGCGGGATGTCGGTTGGCTTCATCGATTATATATCGCATTGAGAAGCGCATTAATTCCAGAGAGCGCGGCTCTTTCCCAGCCCGTTCTCGGCAAATGCGTCGATTCACCTTGCACATCGCATAAATTGCAACCTAGAACTTCGTCATATTACGAACCGCTGCCTTTATAGTGGCGCGCATTGTATCCTATTTTGTAAAATATATTTATAAAACAATTATTCCCTCTCTTTATTAATACGTAATTAACGCACGGAACGCGAGAGAAAATTAATTTTCCTCGCGAGCGAGAGATAAAACTCGAAATGACCGAAATCGTAAAAGAATCGATATTTAATATCATTGCGCTGAATAACTTAATATAACTTTAACCTTTACTTGAATTTACACTGAATGTAACAATCAAATTTCGTTTATTGTTACGTAAACGCGTGTAATCACATATTACATAAAGTTTTATTGGTACTATGGTATGTGACATATAAGTATGATTCTTCATGATTAATATGTACATCGTGATCTGTGACCTTATAAACATATGCGCACTCTCGTAACGAGCGCAGTTAGCATTAACGTATGTAATTGCATTTATTTTGATGTTGCCTGAAATCCTCCGCATAATTATGTATACCGCTGCTGAATACGTAAGACGCGTCAAATGTGCAGATTCTATATGCATGACATATGTACGTATATCGACTCATTCCGGTCCTAAATGGGCGTTTAAGTAGAAAAACTGAAAACTGCGTGAAATCGAGATACGACCTTGCGAAAGAGATCAGTCGATATGGAGAATCAATGTTTTGTATATCGGCGGATCTATATATTGTGTCATCTATTAGGGATTAACGATAACTCATTTTCTACGTCGATATTCACATGTAAAGTTGTTTGTTCCACAAGTACCGCGAGGAATTTTTGACGAGGTTACAAAACCACCTCGTCTATGCAACTTGTAATCTCCGGGGTTAAGGCTCGTTTGCCCTTCTCCTGAATGACTCAATCACCCGACTGACCTATCCTGCTATGTGGTCACGCAATTCGAAACCCAAGTATCGAATTCCTCAAACGAGTTTATTATTCTCAATTTTCATAAAAATTAAATTAATTTCCTCTCGTTGGATAATTAAAATTATTTCTCTGATTCGTTACATGTGCATTATGATGCAACGCGTATTTGTTTGTTTTTGCAAAGCAATTACATAATACTTGAACGCTGTGGGGAGTAAATTAAAATACTGCACCATATGTAATTACTGCCAACTCTCTTCTAATACAATATAAATTAACAAAAGATGATGATGTCGACGATAACTGGCACATATGTTTATTTAAAACACATGTGTTTTAAATAAACATATGTGCCAGTTATCGTCGACATCATCATCTTTTGTTATTTTTCTTCACCCACTGGCGATCCACCTTCTCCAAGTTTGTTTTTTACAATATAAATTGTTAGACAAGTTTCCTAAACTAAACACACTTGTAAAAATGTATGAAAAATTGTAAACTTGTAAATCGAACATATTTGTGTTTGTTATAATATCAAAAAGATTACGTGAATTTGCGATCTCTAAATTTTTTTCCCCTTTCAATTGGAGTGAGAAGAACAGCTTCGAGGAACTTATTTACCAAAATGTATGATATCTGATATCTTCCGAAAACTAACTTTCGTCACCATTTACCTCCCGCGCATAGAGATGGAAATCAGTAGATAGCGAACTTTACGCAAGAGAGAAATATTTTTCGAGGCTCCCGCGCCAAATGAACTCATTTTAACTTTTTCCCAGGGTTTCGTCCGTAGAAGTCACTCGATGAGCCGAGGGTGTGTCAAACGCTGATATTACACAATGCACGAGATTCCATTGCAAACCTAGCGCAATTTGAAAGGATAAACCGGGTTGTACGTAACGATTGCGTACATGTGATTAACATGTACAATTATAACAAAAAATGTGAGAACTCACTGAAATTACATATTTGTTCCTACATTTGTTATCCAACCTTTATGCACGTTAAAGCGGAGGAAAAAAATATGTAAAAGTCCCTGCGTTCAGAATTTCTTGAAGAAGAAAAGCATAAGAGACATATTTCTCAACGATGTATAAACGTGCATATTCAGAATGAAACATCTAAAGAGATAAAATTTCTTTGTTGCTTTTAAAGGTAAAGAAATGTTTTCAAGAGTGAAGAATTTTATGGGCTTTAAAATAGATAATAAAGAGAAATTAATTAGAATTGTACAAGTTTATGCTCAATGACATTTCTAATGCATCGAAAAAAATTGTTTAGATGCTATTTTGGATTATTTCCATCTTTAGAAATCGATAAATGATAAAATACTTTATATCTTCTTATAATTAAAAAAAATATTGTAACCGAAAAGAGGGAGAAGGGAGATCTGTTGTACAAATTTCACAAGTTCCAAGTCCCGAGGTATCGCGGGATAATTGAACGGAGCGTTCACAATTGCGTTTAGCGCTAGTCAGCAAGTCGAGTACGTGCAGACAAAGGAGGTTGTTTCTGAAATTTCTGAGCCAAGAGTTCCTGGCGAAGGTCACGTAAGGGGTCCATGTCCAAAGGTGGGTGGGTGTGCCGGATAGTGACCTTCTTACACAATGAACGAGAGGCTAACATCGTCAACGGATATGATTTGAAGGGATCAGCGGGGGCGCGGTCGCAGATCCTAGGAGACGTATATAAAGTCCGCCGAAGTCGGCCGTAGGCACATTCAAGCAATCGCCGGTCGGCACGATGAAGACCCTCGTAAGTATTCATCTCGACGGTCGGAAGTGCGCGCTGCCGTCTCTCTTTCTTTTGTTACCCGAACAATCAACGTGCCGCAATCGAACCGCTGTTCTTTCAGCGGAACGATGGAGTGACATAAAGTGACACAACGCGTTGCGAATACATAGTTCATTCCTGTCGAAAAATCAGGCAAGCCGTACGATAACCGAATCGCTTTATCGCGCGGGAGTTCCGTGATCTGCTCGCTCTGCTCGGTGTCGTACAACAAATATAGCTTCAAAGTTTAACTTTATGGAACGTGTTGCTCCAAAATAAAATTTTTATCGTTTATGACGTTTATGTGTAGCGACACGTGGTGCAATACACATTATATTGAACTAAAGGCTACATAGTTTATTACTCAACTCACCTCGCAAATTCTTCATCTCTAGTTCGTTTCGTTTGCCCTATGCGCAATTGTTGCTGCGGCACCTCGTGAGCGACGAGAAGCTCTCTTGGGCGGTCACGGATTTTACGGTGGTCATGGAGCTTACGGTGCTCACGGGGCTTACGGAGCTTATGGGGGCGCAGGCTACGGCGGACATGGCGTTGCTATTACCGGACCGTATCTTGGAGCAGCGAGTGTCGCAGGTCCACACGTGGGTTCCGCCACTCTTTCCGGACCAGCGATAGGTCCGGCTCATTTGTCCGGGTCGATGGCCGGTCCTGCTCACGTGTCTGGCGCCGTTGCTGGACCAGCGGTTGTGACCGCGTCGGTCGCTGGTCCAGCGCACGTGGAAGGCTACGGTGGTCCGTACGACGGTGCCTATGGAGATGGCTACGGAGGTGGCTACGGAGGTGGCTATGGCGGTGGCTATGGCGGTGGCTATGGACACGGTGGCAATTATGGCGGTAAGCAATAAAACTGATTACAAAGTTGTCGTGTGAAAAGAAGAACTCTTGGCGATAAATAGATTGCAGAAAAGGTTCTATCTTAAAAATGAATAATAATCTAAAGTAAAAAAGAAGCGTGTAATATGAAAATGTGCATGAAGGAATTTTTGGAGTTTTGCAAATTTCGGAAAGTATGTATGCTGTAAAGTATATTATTGTTACACAGTGAAAAAGAGCCGTTCTTAAAATTTGTTTTCTTAACTCTTCTAGCATTGAGATCCCCGTCCGTTTCTCTAACGTTTATTCTCTCCTATTATTCACAGGAGGTTACGCATACGCAGCTGGTCCCGCTTACGGCTATGGTGGATACGCCGGCGGCCACGGAGGCCACGGAGGCCACGGAGTAGTTGTTGCCGGACCGGCTACCCATGGAGCGGTTCTGGCTGGACCTCATTCCGGAAGCGCGGCTGTTTCTGGACCGCACGCCGGTTCGGTGGTGATCGCCGGTCCTTCCGGAAAGATCACGGCCCACGGAAGCGGTTACGGCGCCGCTATCCACGCCGGCCATGGCCACGGCCACTGGTAACGCGTGCACAACCGTCTGCGAAACGTAAAAGAAAATAGTCCCTCTGAATCATCGTCGGGCCGAAAGTAGAATACCGTTTCCCCCCGCGATTTTCCAAGAGAGATTGAACAAGTATTATGGAGATATGAAATTGCTGTAACACGACGACGCTCGTTGCGCTCGGTGCTCTCGGTCCATGGCTCTCGCGCATACTTACATCTCTTCTGTACGAATGGAATAAAATCACTCTTCTTTATACAAAGAAGATATGTGTAACATAAAATAACCCAGAGAGCATTATTTAAATATGTATTGCTTGGTGCGTCTCATCAATTTTGATCTCTTACGTCTATTAAATTTACACGTATCCTCCTGTATATTACGTGGCGTATTGTTTTTGTATTATATATCTTTATACCTAACGGACTTTACGAAAGCAGTTATTTACAAACGATTAAACCGGATTGTGCGATTATAGGAGACATTGCTCTAATTAATTTCTTCGAAATTTTTCGGTGGCATTAATTGTGATCAATCATTGATTTTAAAACTTAAAAATGCAGCCAATTATCTGACGCGAATCACCGTGGCAGTTTAATTAAAATCCAACCTTCCTTTCTATTAGCAAAGCTCAAATTATCTATGTTGGAAACAATTGGTAATGCAGCACGATTATATCCAACGAAGTAAAGTCTTGAATAATCGTTTGCCAGTAAGGCAAACCATTACAGTTAACATTTTACAGACAAAAGGGTAATGTATTGCAAATTAACCTTGTGGCATGACACGCATAACATTTATATTTTAGTAGATCTAAAATATAATTTGCAAAGGTAAGGTAGAATCGCGCAGAATATTCGGTATTCGGTTTGCACTAATCCAATTTTAGCACGCTTTAATCTTCACGTTAACAATAGAGAATAAGTATTGTAGTTTACACATTTAACTGGTATCTGTAGGAATTTACTCTTGCTGATTTTTGCTCACAGTTTATTCCGTCCAACGCGCCTCATTTAAAACTCTCTGTTACGCTTCTTTCTCCGCGCTTGTGCTTCATTATCTAGCCTGTTTCGTTATGACTTTCGAGCGTAATATATGGAAATAGCGATATCCAAGAACCGTTGATACTTCATTACGTTAATCAGAACAGCTGCACGTTTCGCGACGCGTATTGTGCGACCAGATTGTTACAACGGACCCGATTCGTATCACTCGATAATAGATCACTCGTGGTATCCGGCGAGCACGCTCGCTAAACGCGAGGAGTCCGCGATTGATGATTCTGACACAGATCCGACGTAAACGTCTGTCTTAATGCAACGCGTAATGATCGTTGCCGTAAAGAGTAAGGTCATCGCGAGCGTGACTTGACGCGGACGTGGTCCGCCACTCATAAGCTGAACGCGAAAAGTCACGGTCAGAGAGAAAATCAGGTAGAGCGGTCTGCAAAACGCTGATGCGAGAATTGGAAATTCTATTGCTACCCGGGATAATTTCATCGATAATTCAATATCCATTTAACGGTGTAAAACTGATTTGTAATATTGTGCATTCAGATTACATTATGCATTTCGATGTATACTGCAACAATCCATCAGAACATACCCGTGTTAACATAATCCCTGTATCATTAGTGATTGCATGACTTTATCATAGGAATAAAACGTAAAACTTTTATACGGCCCACCCGTAATTTTTCGTGCGCTCGATGACCGCGTAATGGATCACGAGAAAAAATGTACAATAAGACATTCGACATAAATTTGAGTATCGTCGCATATCTATCGAGCAATTTATACGGGATTTGCACAAATCCGGGTATGAACCGCAATTTACGGTATCTATTACGTGCGCGTAATTTATCGTACGATTTACAATCGCCGGATCACGTGGATATTTAATCTCGGATTTGCGTGCGTCCCCGTCTTTGTCCTCCCCCTTTTTTTTCTGCAACAAATTGCTATCGGAAAATGATATACCCCGCGCTTTGTTCGCGCGGCGAGCACTCTCGGGCGGAATATCGAGCGACGCTCGAACGTGGCCTTCGCCTTATGGGAAAATCGTGGCCCGAGCCACGTCTCGGCTCGGCTGAGATAGCGGCGATGCGACTACGTAATCCCGCGCGTTTCGTCATCGCGATGGTAGCTGCATTGTGAGAATGCACCGAACCCTCGCAAATTCCGAAAGGTCACCCACTTGTTATCGGCCGCCCACCGTCTGCGGGCGAACAGAATAAGAAATGGGTCGAGCAACAGGCCGAGGAGGGCCGCGCGCTGTGTTTTCACGACGGACACGCGAATAACGCGCGCTGTGCAAGGACGTTAATTGCTATGCGTCGACAATGGTGGGCGATAATCGATCGGGAATTAGCGGGCGTCCGTAACAGCCACATCGCTCGCAGGCGGTACAAGTTGACGGGCGATTGCAACCGTGGGAAGACATTGTTCCAATTAGTGATTGAGCCTCTAAGATTCACTTAATAATATGGTGCGGCAACCACCATTATCGAAGAATGACAAAAATTCTATTCTAAGAAAGTGATAACAATTATGTCTAAATACGAATCCCTACAGTGTTTTGTATATAAGTAGGCACGGCGAATAATATTATACAAGATGAAGAAAAGAAGACACGCAAACAAACGAGATGTTTTAAATTAAAGGTAACTCTAATCCGATCATACGCTATTTCTGAATTCTTTTATTGGGCTGAAAAGGTTTACAGTTTACTTTATATCTACATAATTCATGATCAATTGTACGTGTTTTAAGTGCATTGTAATTTAGTAACATTGACTGTACTGGGAAAATGTTCTATCAGTTAACTAAAAGGTAACATAACTAAAGTATTTTGCTTAAGTCGGAGATAAGATGGCATTTAATAATAAACTAAACTAATGAGGTAGATAAGTTTATATTTATATATATAATTCTTGATCAATTATGCGCGTTTATGTTTTTAAGTACATTGTAATTTGACAACGTTGATTAGGTACTACTAGGAAAATGTTTGAATATTAGTTAAAAAAAAACGTAATATACAGAATGGCTGGAAAAACCACCAACTCTTGCTCTTAACATACACGGTTTTGCGTTACAAAAAATTAAATACATAATGCATCATCTGTTCAACGAACAAAGTCTCTCTAAATTTTCACGATAAGGAATTAAATACTTCCCATGAGTGTATTGTAGTTTTTACAATTGCTTTGAGGAGAAACTTCCAAGTGTTGCAATATCGATTCCTTTAAAAAATTATTAAGTATGTGAATGTTATGGAATATTTATAAACAGACTCGCAACAAATTTACAACTGCTGTTAATTGTGTAATGTCCAAGTAAGTAATTAAATATCAGTAAATATCCGAAATTGTAGTGCGCATTATGCACCGAATTGAAAGCTATCAAGAGAGGTAAGCAAACTAGTTCGTGCAATTTGCGTGTAGTTGAACGGACCGTCATATGTATCGACTATATGTCCAGCGACTCTGATAAAACGTCATTGTGTTGACGCTTTCTGCGAAACGCATTTATAAGGGTATGAAAACGACGGGTCCCGCGTGTGAATTCGTCTTTGTTGCCGCCATAAATCACGAGACTTGTCGCGGGTCAGAGTTACGACCGAGACCGATCGTCGTCAGCTACCGGATAGCCGGTGGCATTCTTGCGGAGATCGATCTGGAGGGGCCATAAAGCAAGAAAGCCGGATTGTTTTCTCTCGGCTAACTCATTCTCTTTCTCTCTCCCCTCCGCATTATACAACGACTACGCGAAAACGGCGTGAGGCGTGGCCGATAATAATGAGACGAATAGAGTGTGTGTGAAAGATCGTTAATGGGCCGAACCGTAGAGAGCCACTGTAGATCGCGCAAGGTCGAGCAATAAATCCTTCGGTCGTAACAGTTTCGGAACGTAGATCCGCGAGCGGACACTTCATTTCGAATGCCTACGGGGAGTTAAAAAGAACGTATTAATTTTTGGAAGACGAAATCGAAATACGAATATAAATACAGTCAGATGTATGCCTGATCGTGAAATTTAAAACAAATTACGTCGAAAATTTGAGAATCCAGCTATTGAAAAAATTACGCAAAATATATTTCTCTGTTCAAATAATTTTTTGCAAAAACGAATTTTCCCGTTGAACCCATTACGCGTTTTTTAGTTATGGATATTACAGCCGAACAATAAACTTTTGTGAAATGTTCGCACCGCGAAATATATTATTTTTTAATTATTAGCAACGCTATCTATGCCACATAAGAATCCGCGCGTAAAATGTTGAAAACATAAAATATGAACCACTTGTGTCGCGTCACCTTTTATTATTAACGTGTAAATGTTATTTTTCTCATTTCCAAACGTGTCGTTAAAAGCGCCAAGTAGCGCGTACGTATGTTTTCAAATAAAATCTCATGGAAACGTGAGACTTTTTTTTAAATCGCATGGAAATGCATAAGCACATTGAACGTCTACTGCTCTATTGTATATCATACTATATCTCAGCAGCTTTATGCTCTTCGTGAAAACACGACTCACCTGAACTGTAATTATTTCAAACATCATGCGGTCGTGGAGGTTTCTTTACCGGAAAGTCCGGAGCCGGAAGCTGCGCGGGATCATCGCTGCTTCGCCGCCCTCCGAACCCATCGACATCAAATTCTATTCTGTTCTCATTAATGCGGTGTAACCGGTTGACAATCGCGCGGCACGTCTCCATCGACGCTGACGGAGGATGCCAGGATTCGGTGCAGCGGCTTTCCATCAGCCATCACGAAGGAACATTGCCGTGCAAGCTAATGCTAAGTGAGCTTTTATAGCCGAGATACGACGGGCACGTGGGTTGGCGAACTTGCGATGACGGGACAAGGCGGGGCTCAATCGGTCGGACCAGCGTGACAAGATTTAAAAAAAAAACAGAGAAAAGAAAGAAAGTTCGATCAATCGGATTGAGAACGCACGATGCAACCTCGAACCGAGTCAGAAACAGCGACCGCGCCCAAGCGAGTAAGGGTGAACAACAGTTCAAGAAGTAGATTTTATCACCTTCTCGCGACGTGATGTTTATTGGCGATTCGATGTCGCGATTGTGTTCACCCTGGATGGAAGGGATCTCCTTGAATGGTATTGTAAATCAGCGCTATAATGAACTGCATGGTTTAATGTCACGGAGAAAGTGCAGCCGAAGGCTGTGCAGAGAAGTCGATAAACAATAATGGATATGTAACGCGATGTTAAAATAATCATTGCTAATATTATCGGGATGATATAACATTGTGCATTATCGCGGCTAATTAGGGTTTTCTGAAAATATTTCGCTGCCATAACTATCTGAAGCATAGCAAACGATTTGCCGTCGCACCTAATACAACAGGCACAGTAGCAAAATATTTAGCTGTCACAACTAAATATTAGCTGTCCATATTTTACAACTGAAATCGAGTTACCACATGCAGCTGTGGCAGCGACATTTTCTTTTCCTCGTACAAAGTAGAATTAAAATACTTGTAGATAAAATAAATCTACAAGGCCGTAGATAAAAAGGGAAGAGAACAGTGGCAACCCGGCAGGACGGAATAAAGCGATCTGTTGCGTTTGGCAGACTAGTAATTTGATCTCGCGAACGATCAATCTGAGACCCGGGAGCATTGAAAATTTTCACAATAAACGATAGGCCATCACATTCTACATTGCTCGAAGTAGAACTCGCTTGACAGTACTCGGTGATTGATGATGTACAAAGCTAAATATATAGCGATAGTGATCACCGCGATGAAAACGTGGAACATTGTAGCCGACTGCTCGTTCGAACCATTAGCCGAATAATAATCGATTGATGCACGCAATGTGTACACCAAGTAACTTTGACGATCCCTTTATGTCATGTTTCGTGCTTTGTAATCGTAAACCATTTACAGAGGATATCATACATGTGCCAAAAATCTACTTGGCCGCTCGTATTTCGGATATGCTTTGACAACTAAGTAGAGAACCGGGCGCTGTTGTCAGTAACATCGCTGCAAACACAGTAACGCGTGCTTTATGGAATTAGTTTACAGATTCTACACGGGAATAACGTTATGCAACGCTCGAGTACGATTACAAAGGTAACACAAATTATTGCTTCGGTAATAATAAAATATATAGAACGCTAAAATACATTTTCGTACAATTTATTGAGGATTAGATGCCCCGCTTGATTAACAAGAAACTAAAACGGTTCCGGAAAAATACGTTGCTGGAGATTCGCCAAGTTCTACTCGTGTAAAAATGGTTTCGTAACCGAGAAACTTTGGGGATCGCTGATCTACGTCATAACGTAAAGGAACACAATGCATTTCCCGTTTCCGCGAGAAGAAAGAGATCACGGGGGATGGAGGAAATTGACGAAATGTCCAAGTTAATAAACTTCACGTTCGTTCAAACATCGGATGCATTTCTTTCGAATTTACCATTCGACAGACGGGATGGCGATGGAAACGGCGGTGAAAGAGTTTCCGTATTGCTCAATCAACAGCCATCTTTGTGTTCGAGGCTTGTGTATGACGTGCGATAATGGCACTGCAAATGATTTCTGACACCACGTCTGCGATCTGCCGCGAACTTGATGGTATCGTTGCGCCCGGGCACGTATATACACTCGTATCCAACAACAATAGAGCCCTCATTCCTGGTGACAATCTGCAAAGCCCGGATGACGCGTGGGCAATGCAACCCGTGCCTCGCCTAGACAAATGCACAATACAATGCGCAATGTAATCGCCTAATGGCGACAGACACGTGTCTACCTACGAGCCGAGAGAAAGCAGGAAGAGGACACGCATAGGATACGCGAATCGTCTTTAGTTTCAAGGTCGTTGATGACTGAATACTCGCGATGAGCAGTCGTCTTATCCTTTAATCCGATTCTCCTGTCACGAAACGCGTGACATTGATGTTGCACGATCAACAGTACATTACGATAATTGATCATTCTTCTCGCGCAGTGTTTTCTGTACGCAGTTGGAAAATTTTGTTTTCTTGTTTTAAAAAATGCCGGTTAAAATTTTTATGTTAAATGTTTAACACATTTATGTGTTAATTTAACATATTGCTCTTGTTGACCTCAAATGTAAAATTATTAAAACGACACAATGTGTACTTATTTTTTAATCTGACACAATACATATCATCTATATTCTTAGTAACAAGATTTATCTGTTAAAGTTTACAGAATAAAATATTGATTTTGTTCTATATAACATAAGTGAGGGTGATTTCGAACCGTCATTTGACTTGCTACACCTGTAAGATGTAAAAATTACATTGTTTAAAATTCATTTTGTCATTAAAAATATGTTAATTTTACACAAAAATTTTTTTCAAATTATTTTCAGATTTGCATTTATTTTATGTTCAAATATTAACAGAGTATTCGTGTGATCATTTAACATATTCATATTATGTTAAATTAACACAAAAATTTATGTGGACCGTTTGGTGCATGTAACATCTGTTAAATTTATCACACATTTTTCAACTGTGTATCATTTATGGTATATATTATAATTTTTAAGAGGAAACCGATGACAGTTTGCGAAATAATAAGGTTTATGAATCAATACTAATCCTCGTCGAGATAAATTCTATCATTCGCTTTTGAACAAGATATAATGTCAATCGTGTATGCGATTGTACGCTTTAGCGGGATAGCAGAAGTAAATATTATACCAAGATATCGATCCGATCTATTGTTGTTGCGACTACCGATTGCGTGAATAGACCAAGGTAAACATAACGCGCGAGACCATAGACGGATGCGTTGAAATGGAGCAGCGTGACCCTCGAGCCGCATAACTTGACTTGCGGCGGGGTGAGACGTTAGGTGCACTAGTGTCACTAACACGGTGACTGACTTAATGCTGATAAATCGACGAAACGTCACCTCAGCTCGCGGAGAATGTTTGGCGTGTCCCGTGCCCCGCCCTTGGGGTTGGCGGGAGCGTTGGGGCCCGTTCGGGGAGACAATGCCCCTATAAAAGCGTGGTGGACACCGGTCGATGACAGCCACATTCACCTCAGCCATCGAGGCAAATTTTCCCGTTGTAACCACCGATTGTTGCCCCCTTTCGTCATGTGCGCCCTGGTCGCGATTCTCCTCGTAGCAACTCTGTCGGTGGCAACCGCGGCGCCGTCGGGCTATTTGGGCCACGGTGCCGCGTTAGCCGGACCGATTCTAGGACCCGCGGCTCTTACAGGTCCTATTAATGGACCGTCCGCACTCGCCGGCCCGGTGGTAGGACCCGCGCGCATATCCGGAGCGGTCGATGGTGGTGCTGTCGTTACTGGTGCTGTAGCTGGACCGTCGGTCGTTTCCGGTAGCGTCGCTGGGCATACGGCGGTGGTCGGTCCAGCCCTTGGCTATGCTTCACCAGCCTTGGGATGGCCAGCTTATGGTAAGCCACAATGAATTATTATTATCAAATAAAACGACAATGAGCTGTATGATAACGTGACGGATGTTGTTAATCATTCCTAGCTAAAAAGGCTTTCAGAAATTACAAAAGAATTTTTAAATATGAGCAGTTTGATATATATGATTGTTTGTTATGTGAATATGATTTTAATAATTAACCGATAAATTGGAACGGATATTTCATCTCATTTGCCAGAGCTATTGTTGGCGAACAAATGTTATACCGGTCCAATGTAAAATGTTGCCAGCGTTTATTATTCTCATAATTCACATCTTTTCCGATTCTACAGAACCTTGTTTATCTGGCTTCAAATGTTATTAATCATTCCTAGCTAAAAAGGCTTTCAGAAATTACAAAAGAATTTTTAAATATGAGCAGTTTGATATATGTATATGATTGTTTGTTATGTGAATATGATTTTAATAACTAACCGATAAATTGGAACGGATATTTCATCTCATTTGCCAGAGCTATTGTTGGCGAACAAATGTTATACCGGTCCAATGTAAAATGTTGCCAGCGTTTATTATTCTCATAATTCACATTTGCGATCTTTTCCGATTCTACAGAACCTTGTTTATCTGGCTTCAAATCTACATCGAGTCCACTCTTTGATCTAACATTGATTTTATAATTTTTCAACTCAATAAATGTTACTTTATAACGATAAGGTCTTTTAAGATTTAATTTTATCTTTAAATTTAAAAAAAATACGTTTTACGCCAAGTACTTTAATAATATCATTGAACTTTTCTCTAGATAATATATTATTTTAATCACAATCGTACTAAATCAAAATAATTATTTGCTTGTTTTGAGTTTCTGACTTTAAATGTTTAAAAAGTTCTTGTTAAAGAAATCATTATTTTGTGTATGAACATTGAAAATGCTCGCTTATTTGTGCAAATGTGTATAAGCTAATTCTTTGTATTTTTTAGGAGGATACGGAGGATACGGAGGATACGGAGGATACGGAGCAGTGCTTGCCGGTCCTGCTGTAGGTCCAGCGGCTCTCGCTGGACCTATCGCAGCTCCAACCCTGATCGCTGGCCCATCCGGTAGCATCAGTGCTGGACACAGTGGATTAGGCGGTATCATTCGTGGATATGCGTCTGGACATTGGTAATTTACGTCACTTGGCAATGTGAACTAAGGACCTCCGCGACTGATTTCTCAGATACCCGCAATCTCGATCACGACCTGCAAAACGATCTTGTCATTCGAATTTCCCACCATCGTATATCTTACATATGTACATAACTAAGTTTCGTACATATAACGTTATATGTAATAATAATAATAATAATAAACGCATGGCACTTCCGGAACAAAACCATCTGCCCGTTGTTCTTCCTTTTCGTCTTTTAATTATTGATTTATGATTATGAATTTATATATTCGCGGTATATTAAGCTCTAGAGTCTCTAAAAGGAAATGTTTTTCTGAACATTAAAGAGGAGAAATTATCGAAGAGTAGCACTTTTTAATTTTATATACATCCTCGCGATGAGTTCGTTATCTTATTGTAAGTGAAATACCAAAATTGCAAGACAATTCTAAACCCGATTAAAAGGGAACCGATGTTAAAGGGACGTAACCGTTTCCGATTCTCTTGTGAGATAATTATGTGCGGCAGTATTGGTAAACGAATAAAATTCGAGCGGGTCCATTGTTTTGACATGTACAATATCTCCTTAGAAGCTAATAGGGTTTGGTACTGTCGGTCAACGGCCTCTATTTCGCGGTCCATTGTGCTACCATTGGTGCCGAGGTCTCTATTGCGCGACGATACCAGTCCACCTTCTCCGGTAATTGTCGGAAATTGCCTCAACGCTATACCAATCAGCCGTGTATTCTCCCGCGTAAAGGGTATGGGGCGTTCGCGCGGATATCGAAGTATTTCCCTTTTCGTCTCGCTTCCCGATGCACATTCGCGTGACATTCTGCGCATACCAGTCCTTTAATCTCCGCTTTTAATCACGGCCAGACGAATGCAAGACGCTGTTATAACGATTCCGACGCGTCACCGTCCGCGCACTCGTATTTTCCATCTAGCTTTTGTGACCGCGAAAATTGTGGCAAAATCCACGCGTCCACGCGCACATTACCATCTCAAAGACACCGGCTCTACCACCGCTTAGAAAAACGTAGTTTTGTGCAATAAGTGCGTACAAATTCTTATCAAAAATGGACCAGGTTGAAACCTTTGAAGGCACTGTCGTATGGAAAATAGAAAAGGTGTGTGAGAAAATATGTATGTGGCATATGTTAATAATAGTACGGTTAATATGCTGTCAATACTCTCGAAAGTTTTTGGAGTGAAAATAGAACCATGGGGTGAAATATTCGCACTTTTTCTTGATGAAATAACGATTTTTATCAAGCCAGCTGGACAATATGTTATTGTTGAACAGAAAACATATTATAGAACAAATAGAAGTACTCATATACGAGATAAATTGCAATATATTAAACTTAACGACAAGTGGAAAACACATTCAAACAAAGTTCTGCTCCGCTCACAACTTTGCATTATTATTAAACGATATTAATAATACAGCACGCACGTGCTTGTATAAATGTTGCGCATACTTGCATGAAAGTAGAATACAGCATTGTTAACTTTTCATTAGCACGCGAATATATAAAACAGAGCTGCACGAGGATAGATATCTATAAAAGACTAATTCCTTTAATCGTTAATCAGAAATATCTAATTGGTACCACTGACTGTTCTTTTCTCTCTCAGATTTAATGTTATACCAATTCCAAAATCTTTGAAAAATTAACAATACTACTAAAGGTAATAGTTTTTTTTTTAAATCAAATCATGCATTCTAACTATTCTCTTATATACAGATTTTCGTGACCGCTGTAAAGATAGTCGTCTCGATCAGTCCAGAACGTCGTTGTCGGTTGAAATCTCGAACGCAATGATGCAGTTCTGTAATCCTTTAGGAAATGGCATAAGCGTTGCAAGACCTGTTGCACCTGCGGCTGTCACAGTTGCATCAATTTCACCCTTCGTTGTCGAACTTGCATTCCGTGATCATAATCGGCCCGGGTTCCGTAGCTGTTGTTGAGACCGTTGCAAGTCCTGGAGCTGCGATTGATCCTGCTTACAATAGTAATCGGTCCATCAGCAAATTCCGCTGGTCATAATCGGACCCGTTTTGCAGCAGTCGTAAATCTTGTAGCAGGTAACGTCTTTTGGCATTCATAAATAGTTTAAAGTATTAAATTTTCTGTAGTTACTTTCACTGCCAAGATAAACAAATAAAAAAATTGTTTAATATTATTTATTGTAGCTTCGTTATGGCTGAACCTGTAGGAGAGGTGGTCGCACCACTTGCTACAATTGTTAATGGAATTGTGGTCAGACCCATCTGGCGAAGTAGGACGACGAAGGCACGTTCGTCAAAAATATAGACATCCCAGCGATTTCTCAATAAAAATTGAATTTTCGGTAACAATTATTTCAAATTACTATTTCAAGATCTTAGACATAAAATTGGATTAAACGTCTGGAAAATATTCTTTTATTTGTACTTATTTTATCAAGTCAAGATTACATTGTGGCTAGTTTAACGTGTTTTGTAATAACTTTTTAATAGAAACGTTTAAAAAATCTTTACACAAATAACGTTTCTGTGATGAAACGAGGAATAGATAATAATCTCGCGTCACAACAAATTATACAATTTTAGACTTCAAATACATTTGGAAGCGGGTGACAAAATGTAACGTCTTTATACAGCATTGAATTATTATTATTCATTTCGAGAGTGATAAAGCGCGATGACGATCATTATTGCGAACAACTTGGGTACACGTTCATATGATTCAGCAAATAAAACGCGCTGCGTTGCGCCTATCTTTGTCAACATCACAGCAAATTATCTGCATTTAACTGCTATTTAACAAGCTTATTGTTTAACAGCGATTACCATTACCAGCTGCAGCTGTAGGCAATCACTTTTACCCGGGTGTCCCTCGAAACGTGGCAATAATTTAAGCCAACTTAAAAATAAATTAAACTAACTTTTTTAATGATTATAGAAAAATTTCATTAATTGTATTAATATTATTTAAATAATTAGAATAATCTTAAAAATTTTTCTTAATGTTTATTTTAATATTATTACTGGAAAGATCGAAATATTTTAACGCTATCGCTTTTCTCTCTTGTTAGAAGTTGCTTGTAAATATACTTTATAATGGGAAGAATTGCTTATGAGAAAATCGGTGAGATTGCAACTGGCAATCCGTGGAAAATCCGCGAAAGAGGATTGAAAAAGTCACCGTGGAAATACAGTTGCCGAAGTTACCCGTAAGCGCGTGCAAACTTTATTGTACTTCATCAACCGAGTGGTCGAAGGGGCGCTTGTTACGTCGGAAGTAGTCGTCGCCGCGTGCTTGATGAGAAAAGTTTAATCTACTAGTCCGTAATGCGTTTTTGTGTCACTCGTGAAATATGAATCGAGCTGTTTTTGAATAATGTCGCTGCCGTTAATTTCGTATTCAAAGTAAATAATAAGTTGCTATAAACATACTTTGGATTTTTCATGAAACTAAATTTTCGTGTATTTGATTTCAATATCATTTCAATTGTATATCCAATCATTCAAAGTCTAATGTAGAAATGTACTCTGGGCATAAATGAATGCATTACAGTGGCATAACGTTTTAACTTTTTTCACGAATTGTTGTTTCTCCCGACTTCCAGAAAAGACGACTACATAAAACGCTACGTGGAGTCGCACGACAACGTTAACCGTCGAGCTACCCATGCACTACACGTCCGAAACGAACCGAGTTATGTAAATTTGCGTGCATGCAACTATGTATCCGTTTTCATTGATTCGGGACGGATGCGTCATTGATATTGTTCTCAAATCACTCGACGTGCTGACATGGGACACAAGTATGAACGCGCAGCGATAGTAGCCGACGATAATACGCTCGATACGATTATGCTCTTGAAGTGATACGATCCGATTCGAAATACATAGATTGATTTATTACGCGTTCATCAATACGTCTGAATTACTTGCATGACTTTGCATGAACAATACATCATGTCGCATATACGTATACACACGCGCAAGTAATGCCTGTCTTTACATGCTTGATCTTTCGAACTCAAATAATTGCACGTAAAATTATTGAATTTATTTTCCAGCTAATTTTTCTGACTATGTAATATCACTATGACTATCAATATTACCTTTATCACAATTTGTAACAATATTAAGTTCACATAAAATTATTTAAAAATAAGATTGAGCAATAAATAATTATTTTTTTCAACAATTTTAGCCATCGATACTTCACAACCAGTGCAATCTATTGGGCGTGTCTTATTACGCATAGTTTGCTTCACAAAGAACAAATTAAAAAACTAATTTTTTCCGTGTTGCTTAACAATATGGCGATGCATCAGTTTGGTATTGGAAGATAAAACATCTGCAGATAGTAACCTGTAGTGTTCTGTGTAAAAGCAACATACGTGGAATTTCTACGGTACGTCCTGTGTGATTGCGACTCAAGTGAGCTGGACTGTCGACTTGTCCTTTCAAAAACAATGATAATTGCGAGAAAGCTTCGAAAAATTCTTTACTATACTATTATTTAAACAGAAACATTGCATAATTTGTAACGCAAATTATTTTTCACAAAATATCGAAATACTCTCGAGAAACGGAAATATAACGCTATCGAGGAGCTATCGCAATTAAAGATCGGATATCTGGTTCGATGCTGCTAAATAGAAATTCCCGGCATTCCGCAATTCTCTTGAACTATTAATTTGATCGCGTCGTAGAGATCGCGTTAACAATAAAACTTATTAGAATTTAAATTACGTTTAATATATCAATGAAGTAAATTGTCACAATACACATATTGCTGTTTAGCTATATATAATTACCCTATCATCCACAATGATTTTCTATCGGCAAACATCTTATTTTTAAAAACGCCCTTATGTTGATCATTGAAAAAGCATTGTATATAATTTTTAGCACGCAATAAGAAAAACGATAAAAAATAAACTACAAAAGTATTAAACCTACACATTTACAATGCGAACAATTGCGATTAGAACACTTGCCAGAGAGACAATGAATCATGCAAGGAAATAATTACTTACTTACCTGTTACATTCAAGGACAAGTAGTTTACGCACCTTATCATAATAATTATGTCATTTAGGACCGAACACCTCTCGATATCTGCCATTTTCGCACGTGAAAGAAAACTATAAGTTCTTCTTACAAAGTACGTATGGTTTATTGTCTTCTTACCATATCTTAATCTGTTACCTCTCAAAAATCTTATGTTGATCAGTGGAAAGCTATTGTGCTTCATTTTTAGCACACAGTAAGAAAAGGCGTAGAAAATAAACCACAAAATGCTGAACTTCCAAATTCACAATATGAATAATTATGACTAAGACATGTCAGAACGAATACGCAAGGACGATAAAATAACGATACGATTTGTTGGAACTAAGGACTATTAACTACTTGCTTATCTGTACCTTGAAGGATATATGTATAATATCTATGTACCTAACTGTTACTAGAGAGAATTTAGTCAACTAAAATTAAAAATCCGCGCTTCAACATCTGCCATTATTGCGCGTGCAAAAAAATCGATAGATCCTTATTGCATAATCTAATTTATTATATGCAACTACATACGACATTTTGCAACATTGTAATAATAAGTCAAATTGTTTTCACGTATTTATAAAATTATAAAATAAATCATTAAAATTGATTACATTTGTAAATAGCACAATTAACATGATCGTGTATAATATAACACAAGTCTAGCACACAAGCAACGTAAATCTTATACAGAGAACTCAATTGTCGACGTTCTGCGTTTATTAAGTAAATATGGTTAGGCTAGTTGAATCACTTTGAGCTTTTGCACGCGGCACGATTCTAGGATTGTTCGCCAACTTTGAACCCGCTTTAACTGCCATAAATGGAAACATTAGCGTACGCATTTCATATTTTATTCAAATTAGTAAAAGAATTATATACCAAATAATACGATGTGCGGGTCGCACCCGTTCGACTGTTGCCGCGTGAATGATTAGGCACAATGGCCGTCGACATTTGACGCCCGACATTCCAAGAATTTCCGCGATTGATAAACCTTAATAATCGGCGAAATTTTAAACAGGATAAAGAGGCAGAATTTAAAATTAGATGGGTAAAGTTAATAAGATAAAGAATAAGTCACACGATACCTCGGTATATCCATAAGGAAAGAATTTTTTATTTTTTTATGTCAAGAAACAAGTACCTTACATCTATTGTGTAATTAACAAATGTTGAAATTACATGTTACTTGAGGTTACTTCCTTTTATTATTTTGATTGTACTTAATTAAACTTACTTATCAGTAAGCATATTAAGGACATTGTAGAAATCTATTGCATTATATATTATGCATATAATATTTCAGCTTCGACATTTTTTTGTGGATTGCAAGCTTAACGCTATACTGCGTGCCCAGATGCAGCAGAACTTGCAGCGGAAGCAGCACCATTTTTAGCACCGTAGCGTCTTGAAAAACGTGGCGCTATTACACCGTCAGAAACAATTCCCGTTGCTGGACCGCCATAACTCGGCCATATGTCTCCATGCACAAAGCGGTGCAAGATAGGATATGAAGGTGGAACTTGTATATGCTGGGCCAAACCAGTACGGAAGTTATCAACGTACGTTTTGAAGCCGTTGACAGCGCTCGATGCTGCACTAGCCGCTGATGACGCAGCATTATGAGATAACTCGCCAATCCTGGGTAGACCGACAAGGTTCACGAAATTGGGAAAAGTGCTTTCATGGAAGAAACTTGGTGCTGTTTCCACAATTGCTGCTCCTTGTATCATCTGTAATAATCGTGCGAAATACTGTTAACATCTAAATACAGCCTTTGATGAGAAAATTTACGTACATAATATGTAGTATACAGTCATATATGTAATATAATATATGTTATACATATATAGATATACGAGATCACTGATATTATAATATCTTTTTCTAGTTAATAGAATTTTACAATGAATGTAATTAATACAAATTATTAGGCGCGCAGGACAAGGTGGAAAACCGTATATAAAACATTTTAGATTACAATTATTAGGCTACCAACATCTTGCTCGGACTTAAAAGCGCTCTCGTTTGTCTGGTTTATATCATAATGGTCCTATTTAACTCTATTTGTTAATACACGGTGTTCGTTATTATTATTTGCCACTGCACAATTTCACACGTTGTAATTTCACGCGTGTAAATTGAATTAAAATATATTATTGAAACATGTATTTAAGTTTATTAATTTATGTTGCAATTAGTTTGCATCTTTCAGAAAATTCAGAATATCATTATTAGACACGGTACATTTACTTACATTTGCAGAAACGAGCATCAGGAAGGCCGCAGAAATTATGTGTCTTCGAGCCATGATGAGAAATTGAACTCAAATAACGCTTCTGTAAACACAAAATGTACGACTTCTGTACTTAGACTGAATTGTTAACTGCACGAAACTAATTTTCTCATCCGAGAATGTCTTTTTATACGCGAAGGCTCTGTATTTATTCCTGCAAAATCCATATCGAGCTGGCTTTAAACATTGATATGACTCGTTCTGCTTCATCGGTTTTGGGTATTCGCACGATTCTGGTTACAATGCACATGTGATAACGTAAGCAACTTGATTTCGATCGGTCTCGTATGCAATGATCTCACGTTTCAGCGTGTCCTTGAGACACGTTTATATAAATAACCGAATCAAATTTTCGTACAGGTTGGTGTATGTAAATTAAAAAGTATATATGCAAGTATAAATACAGATTATAAGAGATTAGAAGAATTCAAAAATTCAACATACGTATTAATTATTACAACAAATAATTTCATACATAATTTTTATATTTTATATATTTATTAATCCATTTCAGAAAATTTGTGGAGTAAAATGATTAGAACAAGTTATTTAATAAATAATTGTAGACAATAAAATGTATTAAAATGTGAAGATAATAACTCTTGTAAATATTTCTTCTATTTTGAAAAGCACACGGAGTAGAGTCTATGGAATTTCGATATATGCAGCTTTGCGGCGTGTATAATATTCGGAGGTGTTCGGTTATTGCAAATTTTAATTAGGACAAAATTGATTACTCCCCTCGCCCCCCTTCCTTTTCCCCCCTCTCTCCCTCTCTCTTATTTTCTCTGCAGTGCTACACAGTACACACATGCAACACGGCTTACAGTTTAACGCGTATAAAGAGGCATTTCTCTCTTTTCGTTGAATCCTAAATTGAAAATAATGAGAAATATCACATATATTTATAACAGCGTATAAATGCAGTCTTTTATCATATCATTATAGAGCTAATTACCATCCAATAATGGGATCTGCATATTATTTTAACAAAGATTGCTAATCACAGAGGGAGCTCAATGTTATTTTATACGATAGAAGATTATAAATGCTACATTTAATTATTAAGACATTTAATATTGCAAATTAAAAAACTTTTTTAAATATCTTTATATTAAGGAAAAGTCACTTTAAGCAGAAAAAATACGCAAGCATTTTTTCGGCGTTTCATTACTTTATCATAATATGTTGTTTTTTTATACATAGAAAATATAATTACGTCGTTAGAAAAACGTATAAATAATAATTATTAATAATGACGATAGAACGTGAACTGTACGACGATCAGTATGGTTATTGTCACAATGAGTTACACATGAATATTCACATAAACGAGACTTGCATTATGCGACGTTGCACGGGATGTCAACGCGAATACCGGAATTCGTTCTCAAACTGCATTTGTATCATAATCATCGAATATCTCAGCCTCACAATCGTGACGTCGATGTGAGGAATGAAGGCAACTACGTAGAAAACGTTGAATTTGCAAAATATATAACTTGTGCTGGAAACATTAATTTGGTATTAGGGATTTAATCGATCAATTCACCTATATCTTTTTATTGTTCTGCCCCAAAAGAATCGCTTATGCTTACTCACAGTTGGCAATCGGTTGTCCGAAAAAAAAACAATTGAACACAATTTTATTTAGGTTACTCCTTTTGCGTGTTGGTGTAATATTAAAGATATTAACAATATACACGATCAAATTTAAGTTAAGTAGAAATACTTTTAGATTTAAAAAATGCTTATTTCTTCTCAGTTTATCATGTTTCTTAAACGCATATATTGTAAATCACCTAAATAGACAATGTTTAGTAGAACGTTTTAAAATATACTAATAAGTTTGTGTTATGTGAGTAAAATGAGAAGTATAGACTTGCTGATGATGATTTAGAAGTACCGATAAATAACGGAATATTACTCGTCGTTCAATTTAAAGAGGTTTACTTTCCGCCACTGTTTTGGAATATCCTATAGATAGGTGTAGTATAAATATTGCAGATTGGTAAAACGTTCACGTGGATGTTACGCATTCGTGATTTTTGATCTCGCTTACAGCGGAGTACGTAAAGCTAACGAGCAATTCCGTAGTATACATCGGCGTATTTTTCTCCGTACACGCACGCTCACAGAGGCAACAAACCGCGCGGGGGTAACAATGAAATACAATTAACCAGACAATTTTACGCGGGTGCGGAGAAAAACAGAAGAGATATTTCCCGTTGGTAATCCTCATAATGGCATAACGCAACGGACCTGATGCACTTTGCTCTAATGCACTCAGCATTGCAGCCGTCAACAATGCACGGGCTGGAACGCTTGAAATTAATATCTCGTTGCAGGATATCGCCGGAAATTCTGACGGACAATAATGGAAATGCTAAAATTCGTATATACATTTTTTTTATATTTCCACCCTCTAGGACGATTTATTCTATTTTAATTACTCTTATAATTCAAATGATAGTATAGTAAATATTTGATATAAGAACATGTATTAAAAATGTATTATCGCAAGATGTACGTGTATTTATCTATTTCATTTGTAATGCGAAACGTTGGAGAATTCAAGAACGCTTATAAAATCGGAATTTAAGATAGGCTACATGCGCGATTGTGGCACGTTCTCTTAAACAAAACCTCCCGTGAGATAACGATGTATCGCGGTCACGAAGGAGGATCGCAAGCAATCGAGACGTTCGTGAGTTCTCCTGCAGTAACCGGCATCACCGATAACGTCCTTAACTGTGTATGCCGATAAGCCCGGCAACTTCAACGCAGCCCGAGTTCGAATTTATCCGTTTACACCTCGTTAAAATGGATCTTTTTATACGACACGCAGACAATAGCACGGAAGATCACGTTGATCCTCCGCTTCGATATCGGAGATTCCCGGAAATGGAACGAGAAGGAGAGAAAGTTCTGATAGTACCGTACAATTAAAGTAAAAACGTTTCGCCACGAAATGATTTAATCTTGATTCGCGGTAATTACGCGATATAATTCAATTTATATTTAAATCTACATGTGAAATCTGCGGTCCAATAATTTTTTATTATAATTACTCACTCTCTAGTAATTATAGAGAAAGATAAAAAGTTTCGAAGGCAAATACATACATTATTATGAATTCAGATATTTTCGAGAAAGTAATTCATTATTCGTCCGACTTATTATCATGATTTATTATCAAGACGCAAAATTATGTGTATTAATTAGAGTTGAATATTCATTTCTGAGACTTAATCCCGACGGTAATATTAACTTTAATATTAAATCAACTAAGGAGCTTATATTCGTCAAGAGACTCTTTTAATGTTTGCCTTTTCGTTACGCCATTGCGAGAGATATAGGGAGAATCTAAGGAAGATCCTAATCTGACGGCAAAGGACGGCGCCAGACGAAGATTAATGGTCCCACGATACCGGATCTTGCCAGGCTTCTTCATACAATTTGTACGAAACTTGCGATCATATTTTTCAACTATAAAAAATAATCTCAAACGTTGAAACATTGTAGAATGCTCACAGCATCGAGAACAATTTAGAAATTACTTGAGCGATAATTTTCCAAGATCGTTAAAATGTTCACGTGAGTGGGGCTTCGACGTAGCGTAATGTGACACTTGTGAACGCTATTTTTTTAGTTCCAAAAATTGTTGCATATTTTTTCCGTGTTGTACAACTGGCGAGAGTTTGTTTCTACTTGAAATAAATTTTTTCGTCTTTTTTTTCACAGCGGTACACAAGACGCACACGAGGCATTCTAATGGTCATCCTTTGTCTGTCGAAAACTGAGACTAAATTGAAAAGAATGGTAGCCATTTGGACATCAAAATGTCGATAGTCACAGAGTTATTTCACATGGAGAATGTATCTCTGAAAACAGATTTATCGCGGATAAATTTCAAAAGTAGATCCACGTAACAAAAGTCCAATTGTAATTACTTTCAAGAGGATTACGTGAAAAAATCTTTATTAATAATAGACTTAATGTTGCTTATGAGAGAGAGACAATTGTAGAAGTTCAATGATTTATGAGTTAACGGATTTCTACGAGTGTTAAAATTCATGCAATCGAAATAACATGTGTAAGATATGAAAAGAAGCAATGTAAATAAATTTAATGTACAGATTAGTTGATAGACAAAATATAGATTAACACTCTCTCTTTCTCTCTTTCTCTCTCTCTTTTTCCCCTCCATCCCTCCCCCCTCTATTTTATGGTACAAACACGGTCTTTGTATAGATCTTTTTCATAATTTTACTCGCCCCATGGTCACGATCCACACATATACATACACATTTTATTCTCATCTTATCGATCTCAAGAGGTCGACCATTGGTTTTCCATCTATTCTCGTTATGATCGCGTCCGTTTTCCTACCATCCCTGTAATCTGCTTCTCGCATACATATCGCGTCGCCCGAGGCCATTATCAAACAGTTATCAATTTTAAATTTGATCTTTGTGACGTGCAACGTCACTTCTTAGACGATTTATGACCCGTTAAGAAAAAACTGTGACATTTACGTGAATTCGTGCAAAATTGGTTTCGCGATAAAATATTTTTATTACGAAATAAATGCAGATCTCTGATGTAATGATATAATAATTGATTAAGTGAAAAATAAAATGGGACACTCGACCGCGTGTCGCCATGGTATTATATAATTCTAGGTAAATATTTCAAGAAATGAATGGCGCAACGTAACGTGCTAGTATATGTATACCATTGTTACCAGGTATATCATTGAGTCATTAGTCGTTTCGATAAAATGTGATGCCAATTATAATCATTATTGGCAAAATTATTGTGACAATTAGACACGCGCCCGCATGATTCAGCAAGCATAGCACGCTTCGTTGCACCTATCTTGGTGATCGTTGCGACTAATTATCTGCATTTAACTGCAATTCAAGTCGCTTATCGTTTGGCCGCTGTTTTACGCGATCACCTCCATTATTACCGTCTGTAGGCGACCGCTTTTATCTGGATGTCCCTCGAAACGTGGCAATAATCTAAGCCAATTTAAAGATAAAGGTGAAACAATACCAAGGGCGTAGCCCAATGCAAAACCGCCGATAAATTTTACAGCAGCTTCTAACTCCTGCATTCGGGTTGCGATAAGGTATTTAAGGAAAAGACATCAAACTACTATAATTAACACGGAACATTGCTAATATTATCAAGAATTATTAACACACATAAATTAGCTTAATTGAAAACAGAGAATTAATCAATTAACAAATAGTCAAATAAGTTGATAAAAAATTTTCATTTATTGTGATAAAGGTCAACTGTATGGTCCATAATAGTGGATTAAACTTTGCATGATGAAACACGTTGTTGTTTAGTCACGTTAAACTTCACGTAAAATTGTAAATCCGTTTTTTGGAAATCGTATTTTTGCAAAATGTACCGGACATGTTTCGAAAAGTTCAGGCATTGATATTTTTATATAATACATTATATATTTCTCGATGAATTGCAGTTGTGCATTATATCAATAGTAGAACCTTCCGAATAGAAAAGTTCAACAAAGCGAGGTTCGTAAATCTGCAAATGGAAAAGTTTCGCGGACCTTAGGACTTGCTTTAAGCGTAGAAAAAGTAGAAAATTCTGGGTACGGAAGATTCGATTCATCAATATATATGTATATGAACAGACAGTAAATGTACATATACATATATAAAAGCACGAACGCACATATTCTAAAATTATCTTAATTTTATATGAAATATACATCGACGTTTCCTTCGTTTTCCCGATGTTTTGCTGCAAATGCACAATAATAATGTAAAATTCTTGCGATGGCTACATATAAGGAGAAATCGAGGGACGGCCATCATATCTGATAATAATAAATCCTCTCTGGTATTCTCCGCGGATTACGGACGTTTTTCACTGTCGGTGCGTTTGACCGCATTCAAAGTTCTCCGTAGCGTCCAGAGAGAAGTGCAATTCTCCGTCTCGCACTGTCGATGCGAGTGCATCGACGAATTATTTCTCCGGGATAAGGGTGGGCTTCCTGTTCGGGGCTCGATGCCATTAGTAATGGTTTTAATTTGTGCGGCTGAAACTTCTCCCTCCACCGGCCTCCGAATCGGCACGAAATCGATGACGAACGAGTTAGGAACGACCGCCATGTCGCTCGGAAATGGATTCTCCGGGGAAAATAGTACGTACTGGATCCGATCGTTCTCACAGAAGTTGCGCGGAAATTGAAGAGATTTTTGTGTTGTCACCGCGCGATATGATTACAGGTTCGTTCGAGCGCGATTAATTACTTGATGCACACACCACGCGTATTTGATTCCAGAGAGATCCTAGTTAACGAGATTGCATCGTTAAAAGTATATTAAAACAGTTCTTCCCACACTTAAAAGAGAATGTTTTCGTGTTGAATCCTGATCGAATTCGTCAGGCTTAAAAGCAATTAACTAATACTAAAGAGAAGTTAGTTTTGTTAAACTTATTCGAACGATAAAGAGTAATTCAAAAATTAATTGCCTACAGGATATTACAATAACATCCAAAACAATAGCGGGCAAAGCTAATAGAAACATTTAAACAATAGTCAGGTATCACATCCTATTGTCGAGCAAAGAAGGGGGGGGGATGTGATTAAAAATAAAAATTACATTATCAAATATGAGATATGTTGTACAATGTTTAATTCTCATACCTGTATTACACTCTTCTTTGCTCTACAATTACATAGGCCTTGATACTTGACTATTGTTATTACTAATAGCGAGCGATTATTCGTTTTAATTAGAAACATTTAATTCTTGCTCGTTATAAATTATAGTTACCAGTCGCTACATATTCTAAAATATATTTATTTTATACAGAATGTTTAATAAATATTTACGGCTTTTTATTGAACTTTTGACAGCAGTAAATTTTATGTTTTATATTTATAACTTAATATTTTAAGAACTATCTCGTCGAAAAAGAAGGTACAAATTATAGATAGACACAGTACCGGCCAAAAGTATATCACCTTTAGGTTTTCTGAGCATAACTTTCGTCGAAGTGCACCGAATGTGCTAAAGTTTACAGTACACACAGAAAAATATGATTGTACAGTCAAGAAAAGTAATTACTCAGTTCATTTTATTCCGTTTAAGTAATAGTTTGCTCCAACAAAGAATATTTTCTCAATAATAGTTTTAAGATATACTTGTTACTAGTCTTAGAAAAGCTTGCCATCTTATACTCAAAGAAAGAATTTATTCTTCTTTGAAGAAAATTAGAAAACTTATGGAAGAATTCCGTATGCTTCTTTTAATAAAGTCAGAGGAAACAAAATTGTTTTGCTTCAAATAATTCTATGTATTCTTGTTTCAAGTACTAGACTTACTAAGAACCAGAATATGTTTTGAGTAAATATCACACTTGCGACGACATTATGATAGATTTGCGGATATATAAACTTATCAAATACTTGGAACAATTAATATTTACTTGCAGGTAGTATATATTTTTCTGTGTGTAGACACCTGATAACAGGTATATCTTGTACAGGAAGGGTGCTGAAATTTGACAAAGTACATTATGATTTTCGAATTTTTTATTCGAGCACTTTATAATTAGTTACGCTCAAAAAATCGAAAAGTGATATATTATTGGCCGGTACTGTATCTGAGATACAACATCCGAAAACGTAATCATCGCTTTGTCGAACGTTCGCACACTATGCCTCTCGCAGAATTAAAAAGACGTTTTAGATCGTCAATATGCGAAAGACAAATCTATATTGCGCGATTAGAAAAATCTATATCCTTTCTCGATATCTGCATGTTTCAATAACATCAAGTTACTTAAGAAGAACAATAATTTATTCCCGGAGAAGCTTCCTTTCTAAACGATATGCTGTGTCTCATGAAAGAATATACTTTACGAAAAATATACTCGACGCGAGACGCTATCGCTTTCTTGGCAAAGCGAATATGTACCACATAAAAAGAACAGAAATATTTAAAAACATAATATTAGCAACATTGAGTATACTGCCATCCTCCGGATGCGTAAGCAACTATTGCGCCATGTTCGACTGCAACTCCAGCCAAACCACTTGGAAACTCGATTCCAATCCATCATGGGGTTTGTGTCTCGGCTAACTCGTGTACACTCTCGTGCAATTATTTTGAAATCTTTTCATGTTTAAACATTTTTATATCTTGCCAATTTCCTGATATTTAAATCAGTGCTACAATCTCGCGATGTATGCGCGACAGACAACGTAAAGAATATGCTTTTTTTTCTGCAGAACCGAATTAAACGAACGAAACAAAACGCGACCGTAAAGCGATTTAAAAATAGCAGAAAATTTAAATTTTACATTTGAACCAACATTTTTTGTATTAATTAGATATCTGCCTGATATTTTTTCTTAAAAGTCCTAATTACAAAAATGTGCTTCCTTATTTTTATTCTATTTCGATAAGTTTCTCAATACTTTAAGTAATTACGAATAGGATGGCGAAAAAACTATCTCTAAATTAAAGTAGCCGCATTCTTGTATTTCTATCGTACTTGTTGTTACGTTTTAGTTCGAACAATTTCAGCTTTTGCTGAATCTTCCTCTAGTAAAGAACAAGTGTCTTATCGTCAAATGTTGTGCGTTGCATTCATAAAAGTTGTTATCGCTAATGTTTCAACTTTCCAAAATCACCATTTATATATGAAAGAAATAGAGTGCACGTCTGGGAACATGAAATTTATAATGAAAAGAAGTTTATGAAGCGGTGCGGAGCAACGATCCCCGTTCGTCTCCAGCAAAATTGCCATAAAAGTCTTTTAAGTTTACGGCGCGTGTAGCCGTGCATGAGAAGCATGAAAGAGCTACTAAAACAGGTAGTAGCTGGTAGAACTTAATATGGCGACCTCCAACCCCTTTACTCTTCCCTGCGATGCAACTTTGCGTTTCGCAACTTTTTTCTAAGCGATGGGAATAATGCGTCAAAATATGATACTTTACTACAATGTGAAAATCCCTTTAGTCAATAAACTTTCTACGTTATATTATATCAATTACTAGACTCCTGTAAATTGAAAATTAATTTATTGCGCATTATTGTGCAAAGTTTTTCTCGCTAATAAATTGTTTGAAAATTTTGAAATTTTAATACCGAAACGTATAGTAGTCGCATCATTAAAACCTCATCTACAATGTGCCCTTTGCGTCTGGAAACATTGTATTTTATATAATGACATCAAAACTCTTAAAAAACATTGTCGACAATGTACGATTGTACAGTGTAAACGTACAATTGACCAACTTGCACAGTTTTTTAAACGTATTCATTGGCTACAAAATAGAATGTTTCTAGACGTAAAGAGTACATTGTAGATCGGGCTTCAGAAGAAAAAAGAACGGCTATTGTTCTATGCTATTATAATACATTTTATTCAGAAATAACGTGAGAGTATCACGCATCAATGCTGTCAGAATTGCTTACGCGTCATCTATTACGATGTATTAAATTAAAAAGAATACAAAAGGAGACCAGAAACTAGGAGAGAATACGAATTAAATATTGTAATGAGCACATTCGGGTCAAGTGTAGACGTCGAAACGGCATCGCGTCGATCCGTCGCTCCGAAACGTCATTGCGTTTAAAGCTCCTTACCCTGAAACGGAGCGTTTAAAACTCTCTGCTTCGAAAGGACGGCAAAGCGCGCGCTAATCGTTCCCACATGGTCGCATCGTAGGAGCACGTGGGCCAGCGCGGGTGTGATTGGCTGGCGCGCACGTGGCCGCTCGGCGAGAGTCGGCGCTCGGGCGTGTTCGGCTGACGTCGCGAGTCGACGACCGAACGACAGAGCGGCAGTCGCGCGCCGGCCTCTGTCACGGTAGGATGTGTATGTTTATGTTTCCGCGATGAAAGCGGTCCGCTTATCGCATACGAAGGTTAGGTTTACGCGCGTCGCGAGGACAACGCACGTTTTTACGCGGCGATAACTCACCTAAAGGGCAGGCGCTCTCCTGAATGTCCCCGCGCCCCCCCGAGGCGCCGTCGCGACGACACTCCAAGGGTTCCGTGAGGCTTCTCCGCCGCCCGGCATACGCGACAGCTGCGATGAGAGACGCGGTAAGTGACGCCATTCCAATTATTTCACTGCTCGAATACGAATAGAGGAAAGTCCTATTGCGAGATAGGATTCTAGCGTGAGACAGTAGGTTTTCCACGTCCAGATTCAATCGCAATCTTTCTGCGCGTTTCACCTCGAGGACAATAGATTCGTGGTGGAACCAACCGGTGACGCCTGTTAATTTAGCGGAAACTTGGCTGTCTCATAATAGGGGACTTCCCTCTACGAGCCGTTGGTTCGCGGAGCGCGCTATTAGCGCTGAAAATTTGTAACTTTCTTTGGCGCATAATGAGTTACGCTAAACCGACGGTTTTCAGCGTTAATAGCGTTGATAATGAGCTCCCCGAACGCACACTTTTTAAAAGATAAATAATACAGATGAGAAACGCGAATTGTAATTCAACGTGTCGTGCATTTTCGATGAGTTCTCGATCGCGGAGCGAATGCAATTAGTGAGGTTATGCTTTATTTGAAACTTGTATTTTTAATATGTATTTTAAATGGATATTTTCTGAATTAATTTAAAAGTAAAATTAGCGTAATTAAATATCAAGCGGACACACGAGCGAATTTAGATTTTTTTTATCGCGAAATTGGGTAGAGCCGTTTAACTTTTTGTCCATTTTAATTAAAACGTCGTTTGACAATTCTGACTATACTTTTTAATTTGTTAATTGTGATTGAAATCAATTCTACCGGAAACTACGTTACGCCTAGTTTTCATCAATACCGAAATATTTTTCAAATTACCGCGCGAACTGTTCTTCGTCACTTTTCCTAACCTACCGCGACGTCCGCTGGGTACGTGTGATTACCTGAAAACAATATGCATAACTCATTTATTCCAATTTGGTAAGCGAGTTCTGTGTCGCGACGCGGTCCTGCTCGGTTCGTTGGCAAAATCGATAGCTACCTCTCGAACCGAGACGAATTGTTCTGGTAGTTTGAAGTTCATCGTCTGCCACACGACTTGTCAACCGAGCGAGTCTTCCGATAACTCGCCTTATCGTTTGCACAATTTGTAACTCACGTATAAAAGTGTAGTAATATTTAAAGCTTACTTCAATTTGTTTGCACGTAAATCGTCGCGATTCATCGATGAATGTATTGGACGAAAACGCAGCTATTCCAATCGAACGATATTAATATAAATTGGATATTGATTTTATTTGATAAACACACACGTAGCGACATACCAGAAATTTATTTGAATGTCATATTTGCTTATATTGCTCATAACGCTACGTTGTGGGAGCACAACATTGCGTTAAAAACGATCGGTTCTTGCGATTTCGACGATATTTATTTTCTAGATCGCGTGGTTCTGTCCCAATTAACTGCAATAGAAGCTAACGTATTCTCTACTTAGTATAATTACTTTTTTATGTAAATAAGAGCTAATTGAAAATTGCAACTACGTCGTAGATATAATTGAGTCAGATTGACCGATATAAATACATGATTCATACCGAATTAAAATACCGCGTTTCTGATTGCTTTAATTAAATTCTGTACTTATTAAATTGTAAGCGTTGAATCACTTAATTATTCACACTGCAATCCTTAATAAATTGAAATTCTCTTTTAACATCGTTACAAGAGAAATAATAATGAGCGAACAAGTACGAAGCAGCTTTTACATTATTAATTTTTCAAATTTTATTAACCAGTGGAATCGTGCATTATTTTATGAACCATATTATATGCATATATGTACGTACAATTCGATAGAATCGATCTATCGCCACGACACTGACCGTACGAGTTTAATCGTTAGTTGTTCATATGCAAATTAGTTGACGGAACGCGAAATATGTAAATAATAAGTTGATGAGTAGTAAACATAATTTTAGTATAGTATATAACATTTTCGTTATAGTAATGCTGTGTTATAATATAACTGACTGCTAAATAAAATTATACATATTACATATCGCGTATTATACTATAGTATATGATGCTTGTTAATTGAGAACAATTACAATTGCCTCAAGGCGACATATATTATTTGCACAGTCCTACGTTGAGTATCTCAATTGCATGTGGCTTAATAATATTGAAAATGATTGAAGTAAACGCCAAAGTGGAATCGATTTTTATAACTTTTTTTCTAGGCGAATCAGTTATTTTATTTTATTTATTTATTTTGGCTGAAGAGGTATTTTCTTTAACAGTTTACATTGCTTTTGAAACACGAGTTCAAGACTCTAACGAATGCTGTTTGAGCTATTTTCAAAGAATTGTTCACGTCTACACGCGCGATAAATATCGATTGTTCTTAACTCCATTCCGATAAGTAAACGGCAATCTATTTTTTTTACGACATTCGTACAAACGAGTGGATTAAAGTGCAGTGTAGCTTCTGTACTAGTCTCGCCCACTCGTTGATAGTAGTACGGATGATTAAATTTTATTGCACAGCGCCGCAAAATGATCATACGGAGTTACGGTATCGATATCTGGAACATTAAGCGCCGGGAAATCGAAGGAAAGGGTGCGATGAAAATGGAGAAACCGAGAAACAGGAGAGACGAACAAAGGGCGCACTTTATTCGAATTTCCGTCGTGTCACAGATTGCTTTAAATCACACGCGAAAATTGCACACGTAAAATTTTCGCGCAGAGTCGGACATTTCTCATAGAACTTCTATGATCGATATATCGATGACATTTTTTGTCACGTATGTTGGAAAAAAAAATTTGTATGAAAAGACAATTTTAGCAATTAGTAAAACAATTGTGTCAGCTCACTGTACAGTCAGCTATCCGCCAAATCTCCCATAAAACTCGCCCGCATGTGTTCTAAATTGCACTCTGCTGACAAAGTATGCGAAATATTTCAAATGGAGGGTAGATCCGTCGAATATGACAATGTTCGCCTATTGCTCGGTGAGATTGAAAATCGATTGATCTAAAATCGGCGTAAAATGGAGGATGATTAAAGGAGAAAAAAGAAACCAGATACGGGCCCTCGTAGCAAGCAGTTTCTCTATTCTCTCGTATAATCCGCATATCGAAGGCGAGGAAAATGACCGTGTTAACGAGAATTCCGGTAAATTCACCAGCACGAGCCGTTTCCCTCCTATTTTCCTCGCAGGGAGTCGGCACGACGCGATATCGCGAAGATGTTTTAGGACGACCGTAAATCACCAAAGGTTGTGGGCGGCTAGACGTGGGGGGGGGGAGAGGGGGGAGGGAGAGAAAAGAGAGCAGAAAGAAATATATTTAAAGCACTTGCCTCCTTCTCCCTCCCTCCTTCTCTCCCTCTCTTCCTCTGTTGACTGCGTTGTTCCGCCTCTCGCTAACCTTTCGCTCCTCTCATCGCCTTCATTTTCATCCCTTTTCCGCGCACACTCGCATGCCGTTTTTTATTCTGTGCCATTAAGGCGTTTCTATGGCCGCGACGAATTATCGTCGAATAAAGCGGCGCGATTAAGGCAACCTGGATGCGACGTAAAACGAATCTTTCTAAATTCCCGGAAGATTTTGGCTTAACAGTCCTCTCATTCTCCCCTCAAAGGAGACTTCTACGAGACGACACGGAGCCGACTGAGAGGACTCGGCATATTTTCATTCCAGATGTTCGCGGCCTTTCACCTCCTCCGACGTGACAATTGCAAGATTACAAATAGTATGTCGCGATTCCTCGCGAGGAATTAATTTTCTTAACGCTGCAGTCACGATAACGTTAATTTCTCACTCTGAATTCGTTATGTTTCTCACGCGCGTATTCTGTAAAAGGAATTCTTTCATGATTCCGTCTTCTTTGACTTGTACAAACATTGAGTATTTTAATAGTGAAAAATGTCAATGAGACGAAAATGCAATGAAACGAATAAAAATGTAAAAAAAATAGATCAGGAAGGGTAATAATTTTAAATTACATCGCGTCAACCGATCGAAAGAATTATCGATCGCAACATACAGTTGTATTTCAAGAGAATTATCGTTAGCCTTAAAATTTTTTTCTCCCGCGGCATTGTACCACGAAGCGTAACCTCGAGTAAGGGAGTTGCAATTACTCAGGTCGGAATTCCGCACCGGAAAATGGAAGTAAGAAACACGTTCACCCTCTCATATCAGAAAGAATTATTGTATGAGAATATCCGCGAGGAAGTCGCGCGACAGTCTACGTGATTTCTCGCAGACGAATACGCGATACCGCGAATTGAAAATCGTGCCATTGTTTCTTCTAAAACCACTGCGACGACAGCGTTGTCTACGGAGGAAGCCGCGTGCGAGAAGTTTCGCAAAAGAAATCATGGCATTGAATTAAAATCAAGTAATACCGGTGGTTTCTGCCAACTAGCGCACCACCGGCGACAAAACGCCGCGGTTGTTTCGTAATTTTATCGATTTACGAGACAGCATCGGCAAGCAAGAAACGCGTCGAGTAAGAACAGAATGCAAAGTTTGCCAAGTAAATCATTCGGTTTCGTTTGCTCGTGAAGTATGGAAGATGCACATGAAGATGGAGGATAGTTAATTTAATTAACTAAAATAACACAAATTGAAAATGTATTCCAACCGGCGTAAAATCGCGAGGTGGATTAGCGCTTGGATATCATAGAATATAAATGCACATGTAATTATTTCCGATATCTTTTATTATATGCCGTATGATAACGTAATAAATGTAATGTCACTCACAGATTTGCTCTTTTTACAATATGTTTTTATAATACGCTTTTATAATGCATGCTTTTCTATACATTTTAATTAAACATGAAAGGGTTGGATGCATATTTATAAATGTGATTTTCAAAGTAGAGTAAATGTATCTGTTTTCATACAAGCTTGTATACATCTTTATTATGCAATTTTTAATTTTTATACTCGCGTTTCACGATGCATTGTAACACAATATTTACATGCTCTATAATTTAAGTAATATTTTAAATAGACAACCCCATTTGCGGACTATTCTTTAAACAATTATAAATCTATCTCGCTACGAACGCAGAATTTCTAGCTATATCGTAAAAGCCGAAAATACTTTGTTTCTTCAGGCGCATTGGATTTTGCAATGATTTGCAGGATGAATGTTGTATCAATTTGAGATTTTGAATGTGTTATAAAACTCTCACGTAGAAATTAATTCGTGCAAATTACCGTAATATGATTTGATTTATTATATGCATAAATCCCTGGAAATAATGTAAACGCTGCCGGTACATTTTGTCGCTGGTCCTCCCTGCCCAAAATGTTGGGTCGCACGTGTGACGTTTGCTAGAAACGTGAAGTTACACGAGTAGACATCTGCCCTCCAACCCTTTGGCCGAGCGCCACCGAAATTCGGAACATAAAATAGTACGAGTGACGGTAAGTTTTCTGCGTTGCCGCAGGAATTCACGAGCGATACTTGCATAGCGTACAGACGATGTTCAAAGTTTTCGGCGAGCATTGTTCGCCGAATTGAAATATAATATCATATATAATAGAAACGTCTCAAAAGCGTAATAACAGCAGTCGAATCAAATTACAAAACGTTGATACGCACAAAACGGTAAATTTTGCCCGCTCGCAAAATGTATGGAAATCTCTTCCCCCCTGTACATCGAAAAATGCATTCCGCGTTTTCAGTAGAACATGGTCAGCTCTTATGAATTCTGCGCGCAGTGAGAGACAAAACGTAGCGAATATACTCTACGTTCAGCCTGTTTCAATGCGAACTTTTAATTAAACGTACCTGCCAAGAGTTCAGTTTTCTTCAAATAGAAACTGAGAGATATCCATATAGTATAAAGTTTTCTTGTATTTGTACATATGATTCAGGTTTATCTTCAAAAGATCGTAAGGATTACAAATAATGGATGTGGATGATACGGGAATAAAAGACAATTAACATTGTTATGGATTTTAGTCGTAATATTTATTTTGATTGTTGCGACTGCATGTTTAACTCAGGTTGAATAATACATAAATATTTTATGTTTAGGTAAACGTTGGAACGTCAGGTTCTGTTCACTACATAATTTGTGCGGTAGTGTTTGTGTGAGGGGCCACCGAGAGGCCGCGGCCGGAGGGCTTCCGAGATGAGCTATGAATCTGGGCTGCCTGGTAGCCTCTATCTTTGTTCTTCAGCTGCCATCGGTGCTCGACGCGCTACCTTCGGTCGTCAAAATTGGTGAGTCCGTATCGACAGTTCTCCTCGCGCGATAGTTTCACGCGAGGTTTCACGGTAACCCTTCAATCATCGCGCTATTTCTCGTAACACGAGTCTTCCATAGTACAACAAATTAATTTATATTTTTTTACGTCGAAAACTCAAGTATTTTCAAAAAAATAATAAACAACAATTAAAAACAGATATCGATTCGCGAATTAAAAATATACGTAGATTACGGAGTTAGTAATAAAAAACTGAAGATGGTCCAATCAAGTATTTTCATTTTTTAATTAGTTTTTGTATTTATGTAGAATATAAAAAAGACCTTTTCGAAAATAATATTTTTAAAGACCTGGCGTGACGACTGGAAGGTTAAATCGTTCTTCGAACGTTATTAACGTTATTTCAACAAAATAACAAACCTACATTTTCTTTTGAAATCGATGTTTTTTCGTGATATTTTAACAAACTAAAAATAAAAATAGGCAACATCTAGCATAAAAACATGTTTGCGTAAATTCATCGCACGTTGATTTCATTTAGATATAAAATAAATTAAACAATATTTTTTTACCGTAATGTCACAAATGCTGTTGTTAAATGGTTAATATCAGCGGTGTGTATATTAAAAATAATATATTATACCATTAAAATTTAATTTAAATTTTACTGCGAAAATAAAGCTAAATTTTAATTTTAAATTACCCTCAATCCACATACGTAATTTCCTTTGCTAACTACGAAAACAACAAAGTATTTTATTTACGTGTTTTGATTGCAATTGCATTTGATTGCAAACGAAAATTATTTGTTCACCGTTCGCATGAGTCTGATATTATCAAAATTGTTACGTCATTTCTTACTTCTTTCACGATTGAATCAGTTTATATCAAACGAGGAAAAGTTTGTCAAACATGGATCGGACTAAACGCGCGGGTTGATATCTTTTCCTGACACTTTCCGAAGCTTGTCCTTTCCCCTTACAAGTTGCTTTCCCGAAAAGTTTAGCGTATCTCAAAGCCGTTTCTCAAATCAAACTTTTCTGGGAGTTATTCCTAGGCTACCTTTGTCAGCGATGTCTTCAGCAATAATTATTACTCTCATGGCACGTGTGGATCTTGAAAATCTCTCTCGGTTCTGGTGATTTCATCTACTTTGTTTCGCTCCTTTCTTCATTTTCCTTCCTCACGTTTCTCATCACAAAGTTATTTCTATTAAAATTATTTATACCGTGTAGAAAGAAGTTGTACATGTGAGGAAGTTATATTCGATACATTTTATAATAGAAAATTTACGTTACATAAAAAATGAAATACAAGTACGATTTTATCATAGCGTCATTATATTATTTTTTATATAATAATAAATCCATATTATATTCATTATAACCCAAATGTGACATATTACATTAATTTTTGTAAAGCGATATATTTTGAATAGTTAAAAAAAATCATATGTATTTTTCATTTTCAAATTTGATTTGTAGAGGAATAATATATTGATTAATAGTACATTGTTATCGTGTTTATAGATAATTTACGAAATTCAATCATGTAACGTAATATCGGATACAGTAAGTGGTACTACTGACGGCTTTCTTGTAGTCATAGCGTCATAATAGAGATACGTCAGCTACTTAGCACATCAGATTACAAGCTCATAATGCTCGAGCATCCGTTATCGTGTTACTAATGAGAGTCCATTGAACCACTCGACGGAAGTCTCTTAAGTTTCTAGTATCTGGTTTACAATATATCCAATATTTTTCAGATACACAATTCAAGATTCTCAATATGTATACTATTGTACAATATTTGTTGGAATTTAACTATTAATTTCATTAATTAGGCTACACCAAACGGATAGTAAAAAATTTAACACTTTGAGAAACTTAATCGAAACGATTATGTTGTTTGTAATTTTTATTTTGCTTGTCATTTATACCGTAAATACATAGGTACTGCAATAAATTTATATACTGTTTCAGCAACGGAGAATAAGAAATTTGATACCTAAATTATAGCAACATTAACAATTAACATAATTTGTCTGATTAAATATTCTGAAAAATTGTACCTCAATTATGCGTTTAATAGCGATTCGAAATTATATCTATACTAGGAGCAATATTGCAGATCCATTTAATCAATTTTCGCATACGTTTAATCAATTTGAATGAAAGTGGAGGCTAATTTAATTCTGTTTAAAATATTTTTCAAAGGGTATAGGAAAATATCTAATATTGAAGAAAAATTTGACAAACTGTATGTTTTAATATATTATTTCCTAAACAATGTAAATATATTGCCGTGAAATAATTGCTAGATTTCCGGCCTAATCCCCACGGATAGCGAGCAGTAATGAATTTCGCGTATTTAGTGCAGTTGCTGTTAATTAATGCGTCTGGTGTAAGCGGTTGCAACCAGACAGTTGAATTTGCCGTTAAATATGAGTGACCGGTGCAAATCATTGGTATCATTGTACAGACAGTACGTGCATGAACTTAAAGAATATTGCAGTAGAAAGATTTATAACTGACAATTATTAGTTTTTTTCTGACAGAAAAAACGAGATATTCCAGTGTATAATTAAATTAAATATTCGTTGTACCGATTAAATTTGGCTGGCTAATTTTGCAGCTTTAATTTTGTCAAATAAGTTGACAGAAATTTTTTAATTTCTTCCCAAAATGTTGACTCTCGCGATAAGCCGATTGGAAGAATGTTAGTATCTAAATGCAAGAAGACAAGCGGAATTCCGGTAATGGTTTCGCCGTACCTCCTGTTTTCGCGATAAAACGGTTAAATTCTCTCTCTCGAGTAAGCCGACAGGCCCGAGGAATTTACGCAGACAACACGTACATAACCGCGCGGCGGTGTATCGTCCTGAAACGCGATATTTGTCTCGCGTCGTAACCTCTTGTTCCGCCTTTTCATTGAAATTGGATTTCTCGCCGTGAATGCCCTCGAGACGCCCGTGCGCGCCTTGTAACACTTAGGACGTTTAGACAGCGAAAACAGATGCAAAGATAAAGGGATCACACGGATCGGAAGTAACTCGCGAAGTAACGACGCAGGGGAGATAATTTATCCTTCCATTTTAATTTTAATCCAAACGACACCTCTCTGTTACAATTACAATTCAATTCTGCTCCTTATTATCCGTTTCTTATTATCCGTTTCTTATTATCCGGCTTCAACAATATTATCTCAACAGATGAGATTTCTAATTGCAGAAACAATTAGATATGCAGGGAGATACACGCGATGGACGAAGTTTTCTTATTAGATGACACGGTACGTCTCCGTGTGTCTGAGATAAGAAAAGTAAAATTTCACTCCAGAATCTAAGATTTGATTTTTATTTAATTTAAAGTGAAAATTGTTTTAATGGTTTTATAAATTGCAGGTTTTCAATCTTTAACAGTAAATATTTTTATAATTATAGGGTAATTGTGAAGATCTTTAATATCGTAGATTGAAAATCTGCACAATAAATGTTTTTTCTCGACACATCCGGTTAGGAAAAGTCAACTCGGGACTCATGGAGTCACGCATGAAAGATTATTCACTAAGTTCGTCCCTTTCTGTACGACAAAGTACTTCGTAAATGAATATGAGATAATATCCTACTTTTCTATAGAGAACTGAAGTAATAAATGACGCAGACGATAATTAATTGTCAACGGAGAATCTCCTAGACCATGCTTTGCTGCCCCGCCTAATCAACGTCCGTTAATTTGATGGATAAATAAGGGTAGGGAATCTTGTTGAAAGGTTTATCACGATAAATCGTTCTGGCGGACGTCCTTTACTCTTCAGCACATCTAGTTGATAAAGGACACCGCCAACGTCTAAATGATGCTTGAATAAATCGGTTTCGCTGATTAATTAACGTCGCGCAAATAGCCCGCAATTTGTCAGTGATGACACAAATTTATATTGAATATTGTTTAAAGAAGGGATTATTTGTATATTTAAAAGCTTGCTGTCTAAATATTTCAATGTCTGTTATTTTAATTTGATTAAAATACAATTATCTGTCATGCTATAAACATATGTAATTTTATTACGTATATAATTTTCTGTTTAATTTCGCAAAAACATGTTCCTCGTTATAGCTTTTGCTTTTATAAAACCAAATTGTCGGTAGTATAATTTGGTCTATTCTTTTGATCTATTTCGGCTTATTCGATAAATGGTTGCACGAAACATTTATTCTATTGTACATTTTACACGGAATATAATTCGTGAAACTGTGTACGTACAATGGCATATAAATAACAATGGAAAAATGTTGGAACATTGATGTTAAACAGCAAACGAATTATTTCAACGTTATAAAGGAACGTTGCAAATTTGAATAAAATATGGGCAATGTTTGATGTATCCGCTATTTAATTAGGGGCATTGACGGAAATACTAATATTCTGAAGTTAACAATGGAAGTTATGACGCAGAAACTTCTTATTCATTCGGTTTATACGACGAAGTTGCAAATCGAAGAAACATTGCGAGTCGCGCACTTGGTCGAAATCGATCGAACCACCGGCGCGAAGTACGAGTAAAAAGAGCCGTACGGAAATGCAGGAAATTCACTGGTTAATCGTCCGTATTCATCCTTTCGGTAAATCTTCCGGATACAAGTCTGGCTCCCTTTTAAAAGGAAACGTGTCGAGCCGGGAGGGAGCCGCTTCGAAGCCGTTCGTGCATGCTCACCATTCATCTGCGATGCGAGTTTTATCCACGAGGTGATTGTAACATGAAAGAAGCTCGTCTTTATGTCGCGACTCGCGGTCCTAGCGGTACTGCGAAACCACGTTATTTAATAATCGGCTTATTCAAATGACGTCTCTGGATAAGGTTGAGCCGAAGATACCTTTTTTTATAATTGGTACATTAAACTGGCACATTACGACGGCTTGCTACCTCTTTTATTCTCTCGAGCTTGAGTTAAATGAATAAGTTGGCAAAATATGAAGGACAAAAGTGTTTTACAATCGCGGAAGCGGAAACGCA